CGGCGCATAGTTGAATTCGTCCTTGAAATCCGGGTTCGATATGATGTTGTGCACCAGGAGCCGAGGGTCTCGGAACCATACATCATGCTCAGACTTCATCCATGATGGAACATCATCTGAGTCGTCAGGTAAAATTCTGTTGTACTGCTGTCATATCCCGTATTCCGGACCTACATCCGACAATATTCCCACGCCTCATCCGGACCTTCGGACGCCCTATCCATGTCTCCAGTCCTCTACCCATCCGGATCCCTGCACCTCTGCACATCCACATCCGCACATCCATGTCCAGATCCCTTTACCTCTGTACATCACACCTCCATACCTCTGCAGCTAGCCTGCATCATTCATTCTTTGTCCTATTGCCCTAATATCATATCCTGTATATCCACGCTTCTCATCCGGACGTCCGGTCCAGTCCGATCTGATCTGATCCGATATACGATAAGCTTCCTAATTCAATTCCTGTGCATATAACGTTAACACAGCCTATTCCTCTATTCGGTATTCCTTGTCCTCAGTATCTCGGTTATACTTACTACCGGTACACTTACTGATCCGTTAACCTATGCTTCATTTCCGACTCGCGCTTGATAACTTTGCTTATGCTTCATACATAGCCTCAGACGCTTGCTTACTGATCTTTCTGTTATTTCCTTAGTATATAAACTCTTGTATATGTCCTGTAGTTCCTCAGTCTGAATATCATATTAGTCCTTGCACTAGATCTCACTCTAAGTCCTCACATCAGTTCTAGTCTATCGACTTAGTCAATATCCATCTCGGGCCTAGGGAGAAATTCCCTAGGCCAGAGCTCCGCTTATCCACTCATCCGCTCATCCGCTCATCCGCTCATCCGCTCATCCGCTTATCCGATCCTCTGAAGTTTCCGGACGTTCGTCCGAAACTTTCCCGCGGTCCTCCGGACCTATTCTGCTTCAGACTTTGTCCTTGCAGCCTTTCCTCTGTTTGCTTCTACTTAGGACTTGTCCTAAGTAGCCATTACATGTATCCGTATCAGGACGAAACCTCATCGTAATTTACGGAAGTTCCTCCGGAACTTTCCCGCACTCGTCCGGAAGTTACTTGCACTCGTCCGGAAAGTCCTTCCGAACTTTCCCGCACTTTGGACATCCTTTGGACGTCCTTGGACTTTCTTCGGACATCATTCTGAAATTAAGGGCACATACTCGGGTAAGGGGCGCAGCGCACGAGCTGAAGCCAAACCCCTCGGAATCAGTCCTACCCTTTGTGCACGGTCTTAACAACTGCAAGCTGAAGCTTTGCCAGGGAACACCACCGAGAGGAGTTGAATCGATGGTGTCGTACATGTCAGTGTGGTTTGTGAATGGTGGGGTATCACTGTGAGCTGCTAATGAAGCTGCCCACAGATTGAGTACAAAATCGATATCACCTGTGGACATTTGGTTGCGACGGTACAGGAAATCAGCAACTTCAAACTCGACACAATCGTTGTATGGCGTCGAGTCGTCAGATCCACGATCTGATGGGCATGGAGGTGGTGGAGCATCTAAGGGTATGGAATTCCCTTGATCATCGCAGATTCTCCCTTTGTAGAGGAGAATTGAGCACAAATTGTATGAGCATCAAGAGAAGTCACGTACCATTAATGATGGGATGATATGACCTAGTTACCTGAGGTCGACTCCAAGCTTGGCTGTCAGAATTAGCACTGCTACCAGGAGGCTGATCTACATCCGAGCCACCTGTAGAGTCTGCCGGCGGCTCAGCAGAATGCCGATCCTCAAAGGTATCGTGCGGTGCATCATATTCAAAATCATGATGGCTGCCATGACCATCCTCAATGACATCCTCAGGTGGATTGAACACCACATCAAAATCATGACCGCCACTAGCCTGAGACCGCCACTAGCCTGAGTGCGACTGTCAGAAGCTCCCTCCAATCTGCTCCGGCTGCACGAATGATATGTTGAGTCAGATAAGGGACGTCCAGGGCCAGATTGAGATGCTGATGATAAACTGCACTTGCGACTAGTAGGTGGGGGAGAACTACTGGAACTGGAGGACGAATGGTGTGGCAGTAGGAAAGTTTGTGATTCATGCTGTGATCACATGTGGGAAGTGCGCCCGGACCTATTATGGAAATGGCGGGTGCAGCCTACTGCTAAGCATGGTAGTGTAGGCTGATGATGGCTAAGGGTGCGCATTTTGCGATGGTACTGGCTGGTATTGTGAGATGGTGTAGAACTGGCAGGGTAATGAGAGCCTATGAGTCTGAGCTTCAGAGGTGCATGCGGCATGAAATTTATATTCAAACTTACCTTAGCATAAGAGCCTGTGAAGGCGCCACTTGAAGCACGAGGTGTATGCATTGTTGGGAGCAGTGAGAACCTTCCAAAAGCAACATGAGGCAATGATACAACAAACATGCATACTACGCACCAACAATGAGGCAACCATCAAGTTGGACAGCGTGAATGATCACCAGGAGATCCAGATCGGGAAAAGGGCAGGGTAGTGGGCTCTTCTAGAAAAGGTGTTTGACATGTGGACTGCAGGCTAGCAAAAGTGGCAAGATTGTCACGCACAAGTTCAATCACAGAGTTCCATTCAACATCTGGGTGAACCCTTCCAAGTTTGTGAAGTGGCACAATCCTCAAGCTCATAAAATACGAGGTACTGACTGCTCAAATATCTAGATGCTGTGGACTGTGGTGAGGGAAAGCCCCCAGCTGAAAAGATCATGACCGATGGGTGTGGTTACATCAGCGGTGCGGCCTTGATGGCCATCATGCGAGTAATGAAGTATTCAAGTAGACCGACCGCCGTGCAAGGACATATTGCTGGTGCCAAGGGAATGAAAGGCGTGAATAATGAGAAGACTGCCGTATCAATCAAGACAGGCTGGCATGATCAACTCGGATTAGCTTTCTCCGAGTCACTGAATAAACACAAGCACATACAGAGGAACACGCTTGCCTGCAGGCTAGCAAAAGTGGCGAGATTGTCACGCACAAGTTCAATCACAGAGTTCCATACAGCATCCGGGCGAACATTAAGAAGACTGCTGTATTAATCAAGACAGGCTGGCATAATAAACTCGGATTAGCTTTCTCCGAGTCACTGAATAGACACGAGCACAAACTGAGGAACACGCTTGCCTGCAGGCTAGTAAATGTGGCGAGATTGTCACGCACAAGTTCAATTGCAGAGTTCCATTCGACATCTGGGCGAACATTGATTAGCTCCGTAGATAAAAAAAGATCGATAGCAGTTGGATAGATATCATTGAACACATACCAGGGCGGGAGTCCAATGCCAGTGTGCCATGTTGGTGAGGCGTGGCAAAACCCTAAGTCCCGATTTGAACCACTTTAGTTATTACAACTACCACCATTGTAAAGTTGACGAATTTTGCTCACCTTTCATGTCTTGCTTCTTCCACCACTCTGACTCACCAATATGTCTACTCGCCATGTTACCCGCCCCAAGAATGCAACTCAGCATCCTGGTCTTGCAGACGTGGTCCTGAAGAAGAAACATCGTATGGCTGCAGAAGTAGCTGCTGAGCGTCAGGCTAAGTTAGATGCCAAAGAAGAAAAGGAACGTGCCAAGGGTGCTGGGATCAAACACGTCGCTGAATATGAGAAGAAACAAGCAGACAAGGATGCGTCAACCGATGCTACCCCGTGGGCTGCAGCCTTACCAAAGTCAAAGCCCCGTCCAAGGCCCATTCCAAAGAAGATTCATGCAAAACCCTCTCCACCTCCTGAAGACGACAGATTCATTTCTGATGTCGAGATGGACAACGCCGTCATTGACACCAGCACCTTCAACCCAGATCCATCCCAAGCCTCAGAAACTGACACCCACATGGATGGCTCAGAGCTGAGTGAAACTTATACTTCGCCACCAAAAAAGAAGGTGAGGGTTGACAAACGGGAGGGTAGGAAGGTGCCAGCTGAGAAGCCTAAGGTACGGGATGCAATTAAGGCAGCGCAACTGGAAGAGGCAAATGAGCAGGAGACGAGGAAGAAGAGGAAGATAGCCCAACCTCCCAGCACAATAAGCATTGACTCAGATATGGAGTCAAATGTCCTGGTCATTGATGCAATGCCTACGGTGGCTCACAGCAGAAGATCAGCCCTTTGGCAGGCCGATCACTCAGATGACGAACCTATGGATACCGATATCCCAGATAAGCCTCAGTGGGCAATGCCAACCTTGAGCAATGAGAACACACCTAAGGCGCAGCCTCGTGGTAGTCAGACTGAGGAAAGGGGTAGCAGGAAGGAGAAGCCGAAGGAGAAGCCAACAGAGAAGGAGAAGGAGAAGCCGACGGAGAAGCCGGATGATAAGGGGAATGGGAAGGGGAAGCAGCAACGTGATAAGAAATCGGTTCAGCCGAAAAGGTACGAAGTTCCCTTCTTCTTTTCCTGTTGTCACTTGTCCATCAATATCATGCTCACTCTCGATGAAACAACACTTTATTATTTTTTTCTCAGTGATTCTACTAGTACTATGGACTCAAAGGAATTTTCAACTGGCATCAATGATTGGGCTGCGGGCATCCCAAAGAACTCAAAGCCTGGTAGCAAGGCCAACACCAGCCAGCCCAGCATTTTTAAAAATAGCTCAACCTCGCACCGCAATGGATCCGTTCTTCCCCCCCTGACCAATGGCAGCACTCGATCATCGTCCAATTCAGTCCTGACTAACAATGTTTTGATTTCTCACGCAGAGCCAGTGATTCGCATCAAAGAAGAACCCAAGAACTATCGCCTTGGAGTCATTGATGGGGGGCTCTCTGACGAGGATGAGACCCAAGGTCTCGAACGTGAGGCTGCAGTCGCCAGCCCTCCCAAAGGGAAAAAATGAGTTACAAGCTCAGTAAGTGTCTGTTTTGACATCATGTTTATTTCTACTATTACTGACTACTACTACTACTACTACTACTACTACTACTACTACTACTACAGGCTCTTGTTAAAGATTCCCCCGTCAAGACCACAGCCCGTCAAACTGAACGAGCGAAGAAACCCAGCAATGATGACCTCCCTGAAGGCATCAATCCCAAAATCTGGCGCCGTGTCTTTATCTCAACATACATACAATATGTCGCGACATTGGCTAATCCCTGGGAGGTTCCCACCAAGCTGGCCTGTGAGAAGATGCAGGTGATTTGGGATGCGATCTTTCCCCATATTGGCCACAGAGTGACAAGCCTTAGTCAGTCTACTACATCGTAAGTGCGCTCAATTTCATCAACACAGTACTGACTTAGATCTACTTCAATATAGGCTGTCCAGCGAGTTGCTGACTCCTACTGCAGCAACATTGGCTCGGCAGCTATCGCAATTGTCATTGCGTACCTTGAGTCTCAGGACTCACTGAGGGACTCCGACAACAATCGTGCGGAATTCGCAGAGTACGCACTCAGCAACCTTCGGTTCTTATACAAGAAGGCGAATGGTGATGACAAGTCTGTATGTACTCCTTCCATCTCAATCAATTCCCAAGTTGTCATCATGCTAATGCTTAGCGCAGAAATTCCGGGGCCTTTATCAAGGTGCTTTTGTTGTGCAAACCTTCGGTGCACACTTCACCGTGACCTGTGGTGCCCAAAAGATACCTGGGGTAGACAAGCCAGGTGTACGAGCAAATCCTGCTGGGGGTCTCGCATTGTCATGTGCCGCGGTAAATACTTGTCATCTTATTTATTCTCGAATCTCATGAACTGACAATTTTAACTAGGTCGAACGAGCTTTAACTCTCTGGTCTACTCGTACTCTCACCATCAAAATGGTTCAGGCCGCAAAGAACAAAACCAGCATTTCTTTGCCAAAGATGATGAATCAGTCGACTGGCAAGGTGTTCTGTCGGCAAACAGGATTTAACGACATCTCCTGGGGTACATCAACGCGTGCCTATGCGAAGGCTATCATGAAGAACCTCTGCGAGGACAAGTTCGAAGTCATCATTGCATCTGCCATGGAATTCTCGAAGAAGAAGAAGAGTCCTGGCAATGACGTTGATGATGCTGCCGTGGAGGATGACCTTGATCTGGATGAGCGTGCTCAGCTGGCGGACATATCCAACACTGAGTCCGAGGGAGATGATGGCTCTGATGTGGAGTAGGAGCCTCAAAGCGGCTTGTGCATTCCTCCTTGAAGCCGACACTGGTGATTCTTAATTTTTTGTTGTTGTTGTTATTACTACTGAGGCTAATGTTTAAGGCTACTAGTACTACTGCTGCTGCCGCTGCTGGTGTTAATATTCAAACCAAGTCTTCCTGCCTGGGCCATTGCGTGTAAATGAGCCTGACTTGTTTCTTCCAGTTGTTCACTGTACTACTACTAGTACCCTTTCTCTCTCTAGTAACTCCAAGTCAGAGACTCGGAAAGCCGCCACCGCCACTGCCATTTCAGGCTGGTGATACTATCATGGACCTACTACTACTACTAACTAGTTGAAGTACTATAGCCTAGTACTACGTTCTTGCACAATGCTACTACCAGTGCTTCGCCATGTGACTTGAACCGATGCTTTCTCACCACTTGAAGGCTTCTACTGTCGTGCTGCTTTTGGCTTATCTCACTTTGTGTCCTTAAGGGTGCGCTCAAGCTCAGTCAAAACCACTCAGAGAGTAGTAAAGTAGTATAAAGTACATTAAGTGGTGCGCATGCAATAAACAGCACTAAGTCACTCATGCAAAAGTTCAGTTGTTTTTCACTTAATATTGACTTTTTGAAGCTTTGGAGCCTGAAAGTACTTTGAAACAGTCTTTCTGCTAGTACTAGTACTACTACTACTAGCCTTAGTAGTACCTTTCACTTAGCTCTAATAATAAGCACAGCAATCAGAGCAGCTAAGTCACATTCATCGGAAGACTCTACTTGTGGCAAGTCACAATCCCCTTAATGTTTTTTGGCTGAATCCGACTTAAAATATTTATTAAGTGATGCTAAGTTTATCTAAGGTTCATTAAGAATTTTCTTGATTTTCCTGATGGGTCAGCTATTGAGCTGAGGTCATCACCATCATTGTCCACATTATCTAGCCTACGCCGCTTGCCAGACAGTGTGACTTCTACCCCTGAGGCAAATAATGACTGGGACTTGGTGACCAAGACTGGTTCATACTTCTCTTCCGACTTGAGTTTTGGTGGAACAGCAGAGTCTGCGACAGGCCAACCGAATAAATCAAGATGATTGTTGAAAATGCCTATCACGGCATCGTGCAAGCCCAGGACCTTCATACCTATCTCCTTCTGGTAAACAGGGGAGTCCGTCATAAGCGCATGTGAAGCTGTCAACAAATCTTGTACGACAGGGACTTCTCGCATCGCTTTCTCATATGTGAGCCGGAATTTATTGAATACCGTCTGCTGATGCTCAGTGATCTGTGTGTACCGATGCAAGAAGAGCTCAGTGAGTGCATGGACAAGATTGTCAAGCAGTTTGCAGTCAACATACATAAGATTGGGAAGATTGCTTCTCCCGATGAGCCAATTTTTGCTTTCGAGGATGATCCAGGATTGGTTTCGAAGACCTGTGTTATGAGTGATGTCCGGCGAACGATGTCCATGTACGTCTCCTTGTACTTAAGAGTCATCCACAGAACAATGTAAAAACTGGACTCAAGGTCATCCTTGACCGAGTGTGTTGTTATAGCAGGTACAACTGAACAATCAGTAAACATACCTGCGACATGATCCATGCACTGACAAGTAGCGGAGATTTGGACTATCTGACTTTAGAATAGAATGAGTACACTATGGAATGTACCAAATGTAATCTATGCTCATTGCTCACCTCCTATTGCGCAAAGATATTAGTCATCTCTTGTTCCTGCTCGTATATCTCACCTTACAAGAGGTTATGAGCCCTGTCGTGTGCAAATAAACATATTTTTATTAATATCATAACAAGAGAGCTAATCTATCAAAATGTCTGATCAATCCTCTGCTGGATCTTCACTCTACCGAATCGAACATCTCAGCGAGAATAATTGAATTCCCTGGAAGACGAAAGTTCAAGCTATTCTTGGTGATAAAGGGCTCGAAGGCTATATAGACGGAACAAAGACCAAACCAGCTGGGGGCCAAAGCCCTATATCAGCTGACAGGCTTACCACTATAGCCAAATGGGAAGCCGAGGATTGTAAGGCAAGGGCCATGATAGTGTTGCTTGTGAGCAATACACAAATGGTTCACCTTACAGGTGCCAATACCGCCAAGGAAATGTGGGACCAGCTGAAACTCGTCAAAGAATCTCGAGGTCAGCAAGGTATCTACACCTGGAGGCACAAGTTGTACTGAACCTTTGCTTCAGAGACCAAAGATATTCCTGCCCACATCGTCGAGCTTAAACAGATCCAGGAAAATCTCCATTTAATGGGGAGTGTGGTGCCGGATATGGATTTCTGCACTATCCTGATGGGATCACTACCACCAAGCTGGAAGACATTCGTTGTAACTCACCAAAGTAACCCTACTATGACATCACACGAGCTCGTCGCAATGATTCTTGAAGAGGACCGTCGACAAAAGAAAAGAGAAATGGAATTTACTGAGAGCAAGATAGTGGTAAAAGGAGCTAAAAAGCAAAAGTTTAATGAGAAGAAAGACAGAAATATAAAGAAGTGCAAGGTGTGTAAGAAGACTGGACATACCGAGGATGATTGTTGGCATAGGTCCAAGAAATGCTCTAACTGCGGCAAGACCGGACATGAGCACAAGGATTGTTGGGCAAAAGGAGGTGGTAAAGCAGGTGAAGGACTGTCTGCCAAAAAGCGCTTAAAAAAGGACAAAGCACAGCTAGTCCAAGAAGCGCCTATGGAATATGAGGATGAAGTCATGGATGATGTGGCCTATATGGCCAGTACATCAAAACTTGCAGAGGATCTTACTGAAATAGTGGAAGATACTGAAAATGTAAATGTAGGAGGGGACGAATCTGAGAGACTTGCCTGGTATGATTGGTTTGCTGATTCTGGGTCATCATCCCATATAATGAAGATTCGATCGGCATTGACCGATTATGTGCCACTCAAAGAGCACTGAGTACTGGGGATAGGAAAAGAGTCCCTAAGAGCGCTCGGAAAAGGTACAATTGAACTCATTAGTACATTCGGCAATCGACAAATCAGAGCAAAATTTACCAATGTCCTGTATGTCCTGAGTGCTTCCAACAACCTCATATCAATCACGAGATTGGATAAAGAGGGAGGAAATGCGCTAATGGGAGATGGTAAAGTCACCTTGAGTGTAAAAGGAGGACGTACCATAGTGAAAGGTCATATGACCAATGGCCTATATAAGTTAGATACTCGAGCTCAAATAAATCCAAAGACTCGAGTACAAACTGCGCAAGAGAGACTGAAAACCGATTGGATGACATGGCATCGAAGGTATGGACATATCACATGTAGTGGTCTAAAACGTCTATGTCAGGAAAATTTAGTCGATGGGTTAGAAGTTGATATGAACTCACCCATTGTCGACTGTGAGGCTTGTATACAAGCCAAGCAGGTATGCAAACTGTTTCCTGACAGTATTGATAAATGATCCAAAAATCCCGGAGACCTAACTCACAGTGATCTTTGGGGACTGGCGAGGGTAGAATCAATTAGTGGAGCCAAATATTATATTTCGTTTATTGATAACTGCTCTCAAAGAGTCAGTGTCATATTCCTGAAACACAAAAGTGAGGCTACCACAAAGATGAAACAACACCTTACCTACCTAGAAAGACACTGGGAGAATAGACCTAAAAAAGTTCGTGTTGATAATGGCAAAGAGTACATCAATAACGAGCTACTTACTTGGTGCAAGGATAAAGGTATTATACTCCAGATGACAGTGCCGTATTCACCACAACAAAACAGCATATCTGAGAGATTCAACCACACCTTGACTGAATTAGCACGTGCGATGATAATAGCCAAAGACTTACCTGACTTCTTATGGGCAGAAGCAGTAGCACACACTGCTTATCTACGAAATCATGCACCAATGTGAGCACTGGAAGGTGCAACCCCTGAGCAACTTTGGAGTGGTAAAAAATTGGACATATCTCACCTTAGCGAGTTTGGCACACCTGTATATATATTGCAGGAAGGAGCAAAACCATCTAAAATGAGGCCAAAGTCAGTAAAACACATCTTTGTAGGATATGAAGATGGACCGAAGGCAGTGAGATATTATGATGCTCGAACACGTCAAGTCCGAATAAGCAGGAACTATCGATTCCTGCGAAAAGAACTTCCCCAAGAAGTGCCTGATGTGCAGTGCAAGGGGGAGAAAGGGAGTACAGACATGCAGCCATCAGGGGGAGCTGACATGCATACACCTAAAAAACCACTTACAAAAGAGAATGAGCACAGAGTAGAGGAAGACATACCAATGACTGAAGAGAGAAGGAGCGAAAGCTCTACTTCCTCAGAATGAAAACGGATGCGTCCACTAAAGAATGAACTGCCTAGAAGAACAAAAAGAAAGGTAGTTAGACAAGACTATCATAAATTGAATGATCCGGTAAAGGAATGGGTTTACCTCGATCACGAAAGTGGATATGAGGAGACAGAACTTACCCAGACTGAAGCTGACATCATTATGAAAGCCATTGTCGAAAACAGAGGCTTCGATCCTACAGAGCCCCATATGCTGCAAGATGCACGCAAATTAACAGATTGGGACAAATGGGAAGGAGCCATAGATGCAGAACTTACCCAATTAAAGGAAATGGGTACATGGGAACTTGTAGATCCTCCTGAAGATCGAAAGATTGTAGGGAATAAGTGGGTCCTAGTTAAAAAGACCAACAAAGAGGGTGAAGTCGTCAAATATAAAGCAAGACTGGTAGTGAAAGGGTACTCACAAATTCCCGGTATGGACTATACCGATACTTTCTCCCCAGTCGTTCGTCTAGAGACGATACAATCTGTTATGTCATCAGCTGCTATCCTCGACTGGGAGATAGAGCAAATGGACGTAAAGGGAGCATACCTAAATGGTATCCTGAAAGAGGAAGTATACATGGAACAACTGGAAGGGTACAATGATGGTACTGGTCGAGTATGTCGACTTAAGAAGACCCTATACAAACTAAAACAATCAGGGAGAGAGTGGAACATTGAGTTAAATAAGCGCCTGAACAACATAGGATTCAAACACACAATATCGGATCCATGTGTGTATATAAGGTGATTGGAAAACGGAACAGAAATCATCACCATTTGGGTCGATGATTTACTGCTGTTTACAAGTAACAAAGACTTAATGAATCAACTCAAAGCTTAATTCAAGAGCACCCTAGACGTAAATGACCTTGGAGAATCAAGAAAAATTGTAGGAATAGAGATAACAAGAGATCGACTGAATAAATCGATCTGAATCTCACAGACCAAGTACATTGAGTTGATCCTGCAAAAATATGGTCTCCAGAAGTCTAACACTGTAGGAATGCCATTAGATCCCAAAACCGTGCTAGAGAAAGAAGAGACTGACCAAGAGGGCAACCGTAATAACAGGTATGCATCCTTAATCGGATCTCTGATGCACCTAGCAGTAGCAACACAACCAGATATTGCATACACTATCCAAAGGCTAAGCTCATTCACTTCGAATCTGGGATAAGCACATTGGACAGCTGCAAAAAGAGTACTAAGGTACCTATCTGGTACACGAAACATTGGGATCCTATATCAAGGCTCTACTGACGATAATGAAGTCCAAATTGAAGGCTGGTCTGATGCTGATTACACCAATGATCCTAGAGACAGAATATCAGTCTCAGGTTATGTCTTTAAGCTAGGTGATGGAGCAATTACCTGGAGTTCGAAGAAACAGAACACTGTTTCACTGTCTTCGATGGAGGCAGAGTATATGGCGATGGCACACGCAGCGCATGAAGCCATCTGGCTTTGAAATCTATTTCAGGAACTAAGTTTCATCCAAAATGCTTCAACTACCTTGTATGGAGATAATATGGCGGCGCTAGCAATAGCGCGAGACCCGCAATATCACGCAAAGTCGAAACATTTCGATGTAAAAAGTCACTATATAAGGCAAAATATTCGTGAACAAAATATTCATGAAGTTTATTGCCCTACAAAAGAGATGATAGCCGATATACTCACCAAACCGCTACCTAAACCGGACCACAAAAGACTTATTCAAGGTTTAGGTATGTCTCCTGATTGAGGGGGAGTGTTGTTATAGCAGGTACAACTGAACAATCAGTAAACATACCTGCAACATGATCCGTGCACTGACAAGTAGCGGAGATTTGGACTATCTGACTTTAGAATAGAATGAGTACACTATGGAATGTACCAAATGTAATCTATGCTCATTGCTCACCTCCTATTGCGCAAAGATATTAGTCGTCTGTTGTTCCTGCTCGTATATCTCACCTTACAAGAGAGTGTATATGTCATATCCCGTATTCCGGACCTACATCCGACAATATTCCCACGCCTCATCCGGACCTTCGGACGCCCTATCCATGTCTCCAGTCCTCTACCCATCCAGATCCCTGCACCTCTGCACATCCACATCCGCGCATCCATGTCCAGATCCCTTTACCTCCGTACATCACACCTCCATACCTCCGCAGCTAGCCTGCATCATTCATCCTTTGTCTATTGCCCTAATATCATATCCCGTATATCCACGCTTCTTGTCCGGACATCCGGTCCGGTCCGATCCGATCCGATCCGATATACGATAAGCTTCCTAATTCAATTCCTGTGTATATAACGTTGACACAGCCTATTCCTCTATTCGGTATTCCTTGTCCTCGGTATCTCGGTTATACTTACTACCGGTATGCTTACTGATCCGTTAACCTATGCTTCATTTCCGACTCGCGCTTGATAACTTTGCTTATGCTTCATACATAGCCTCGGACGCTTGCTTACTGATCTTTCCGCTATTTCCTTAGTATATAAACTCTTGTATATGTCCTGTAGTTCCTCAGTCTGAATATCATATTAGTCCTTGCACTAGATCTCACTCTAAGTCCTCACATCAGTTCTAGTCTATCGACTTAGTCAAAATCCATCTCGGGCCTAGGGAGAAATTCCCTAGGCCAGAGCTCCACTTATCCGCTCATCCGCTTATCCGCTTATCCGCTTATCCGCTTATCCGCTTATCCGCTCATCCGATCCTCCGAAGGTTCCGGACGTTCATCCGAAACTTTCCCGCGGTCCTCCGGACCTATTCTGCTTCGGACTTTGTCCTTGCAGCCTTTCCTCTGTTTGCTTCTACTTAGGACTTGTCCTAAGTAGCCATTACACGTATCCGTATCAGGACGAAACCTCATCGTAATTTACGGAAGTTCCTCCGGAACTTTCCCGCACTCGTCCGGAAGTTACTTGCACTCGTCCGGAAAGTCCTTCCGAACTTTTCCGCGCTTCGGACGTCCTTCGGACGTCCTTGGACTTTCTTCGGACATCACTCTGAAATTAAGGGCACATACTCGGGTAAGGGGCGCAGCGCACGAGCTGAAGCCAAGCCCCTCAGAATCAGTCCTACCCTTTGTGCACGGTCTTAACAGTATAGCATATTTATGCTCGACGAGGTATGCAGACATGAATTGCCAAGTTCCCTTAGTAATAGCAAAATTAGTACAAGATTTAAAGCACATGGAGTAAACATACCATGTGTGTCATTTGTTGGGGACCGTGAAGGTTAACCAACTTTGCGAGGTCCCAGTCAATCAGGTAGCCCTTCCCTTTGTAGATGACCATATTTCCAACACTGAGGTCTCGATGGAGCACCTTCGCAAGTTCAAATGCATCCTTGTGAGCTAGGTTGATAGATCATGAATAAGTTGTGTGAGGATTAAAAAAACACATATCAATCAGTGCATCATGCACAGACGAAACGAGTTGACGAGAACTCTCAAACTCGGTCAAATTTTTGCCCACAATATTGAGGGCAAGACGGTGAAGAGTATGCAGAGTGAGAGGTAAGTGGGGAAGTGCCCATTCAGCACTGCCGAACTTGGCAGTTTGAGTAGATTGCTGAGCGATAGAGGGGGGTACATCATGATATGCAATACACTTTGGGATATGGGAAACATTGTGCGACATCAATAACTTGTACGTTTCGCCTTCCAGTAAGACATCAGGTAATGATACCCACCAAGAGTCCTTGAACATCATGAGCTTCTTGTTGACAAGATCAAATGCCGGACATGCGCGTGTCCAGCGGCCAACAGGTGAGTGAGATTTCATAACAGGTTGGGGAAAGACCAAAGTGAGCGAGCCAGAGCCCTTGACATTAGGGACATCAACTTTAAACATACAAGTGGTACTGGGGATATTTAGCTGTGACCTTGCAAGGTCGGCCTCCTTGTCGCCAGCAAGTGTAACGGAAGTATCAACACCATGCATTTCAGGTGATGCCCGTGCGTAACGATAGAAGAAGTCAGCCAAGTCTGGCTCATTATTGTAGTTGATGGCACTGGTGATGATAGCCCCCTCCCTATCCCATCTGATGATCCAAGTGCGATCATGCACGATTAGGACAGAGAATATGTGGGTATGGAACTAGGTGCCGAGCTGAGCAGCAGTATAACTTGTTATTTGTCCCAGGGTGTCCATACCCTTCTCCGTCTGGGACACGAGGCTATCAGCTCCAGGGTGACGGAATGCATCGTGTGAGGATGACCATTTGAATTCTATGATGATTTCTGTGGCAGAAACATCACAGTTGGGAGATGAAGGTTCGCATCCATCGGGATACACGCAGATGTCCGGCTTGATGTTGAATACCGTTGAATTTAATTTCGAACAGTTTTTCATGTCGACAAACAACAGTTGAGGAGCGAAAGGTGTGATGGTGTTAATCTGGAATAGCGATCAATAATCTCAATAACATATGTGCAAGGGTATACTCATGAAGGGTTTGTAAGCATGTTCCTCATTTCTAACAGAGACCATGTCATTGAATGCACCAACAGTGAAGGTTGAAGTGAAGCACGAAGGATCATAATCAGGAATTTGAGAAGTTGGTAAGAATTCCTGGAGAAAGTCCCTAACTGGCATCGGGCCAACGAAATACTCTTTCATCTCTTTACCCATAGCATTAATAGTTTCGAGCCGGCATCATGTAAGAGTCGTAAAGGGCAGCATGGAGGAACTGTCCCGTTTGATAGGAGTATCAATGATGTCATTGGGACCTAGATAGGGGTCGTCCACAATAGGACACGTAACTGATTCTATGGTAGAGGTACCTTTGACAGGCACTGCAACGTTCATGGGTAAAATGTACAGGGTATGTGTGTGACTGTCATATCCCGTATTCCGGACCTACATCCGACAATATTCCCACGCCTCATCCGGACCTTCGGACGCCCTATCCATGTCTCCAGTCCTCTACCCATCCAGATCCCTGCACCTCCACACGTCCACATCCGCACATCCACATCCAGATCCCTTTACCTCCATACCTCAGCTAGCCTGCATCATTCATCCTTTGTCCCATCACCCTAATGTCATATCCCATATATCCACGTGTCTCATCTGGACATCCGATCTGATGTGATCCGATCTGATGTATAGATCCGTGTCATATCCCATATATTCACGCTTCTCTTCCAGACTTCGGACCCTTAGATCCGGTCCGGTCCGATGCATAGATCCGCGTCCGGTCCGATATCCGATAAGCTTCTTAATTCATTTCCTGTTCATATAACGTTAAACACAGCCTATTCGGTATTTCCTCTTCCCGGTGTCTCGGTTATACTTATTACCGGTATGATTACTGATCCGTTATCCTATGCTTCATTTCCGACTCGCGTTTGATAAGCTTTGCATATGCTTCGTACATAGCCTCGGACCTTTGCTTATTGATCCTTCCGTTATCCTCTTAGTATATAAACCCGTGTATATTTCCTGTAGTACCTCAGTTCAAATATCATCTTAGTTTGTCCTCTTTCTGTCCTCCGGACTTGAGTCTAATCAACTCTTGTTGATCTCTGAGACTTCGGATCGATTCCGATAGTCTACGTCTCCGCCTCTATCTTCGGATAGTCTATACTCTGTTTGTTTCTAGTCCGGATCCGTCCGGATTAGTCTTATACGTGTTTCCGATATCCGGAAGTCATCCGGATATAACTACGAGACCCGTCCGGACCTTCGGACGTGTTATCGTTAGTCTCTGAAATAAGGGACAGTACTTGGGAAAGGGGCACAGCGTACGAGCTGAGGCCGAAGTCCTTCGGATCCGATCCTACGAGAGTACGACCTTAACAATCCGCTTCCGATCCGATATACGATAAGCTTCTTAATTCATTCCTGTGCATATAATGTTAACACAGCGTATTCCTCTATTCGGTATTCCTTGTCCTCGGTATCTCGGTTATACTTACTACTGGTATGCTTACTGATCCGTTAACCTATGCTTCATTTCCGACTTGCACTTGATAACTTTGCTTATGCTTCATACATAGCCTTGGACGCTTGCTTACTGATCTTTCTGTTATTTCCTTAGTATATAAACTCTTGTATATGTCCTGTAGTTCCTCAGTCTGAATATCATATTAGTCCTCGACTAGATCTCACTCTAAGTCCTCATATCAGTTCTAGTCTTCCGACTTAGTCAATATCCTTCTCAGGCCTAGGGAGAAATTCCCTAGGCCAGAGCTCCGCTTATCCGATCCTCTGTTTATCTGATCCTCCACTCATCCGCTCATCCGATCCTCCGAAGTTTCCAGAAGTTCGTCCAAAACTTTCCCACAGTCCTCCGGACCTATTCTGCTTCGGACTTTGTCCTTGCAGCCTCTCCCCTGTTTGCTTCTACTTAGGACTTGTCCTAAGTAGCCATTACACGTATCCGTATCAGGACGAAACCTCATCGTAATTTCCGGAAGTTCCTCCGGAACTTTCCCACACTCGTCCGGAAAGTCCTTCCGAACTTTCCCGCGCTTCGGACGTCCTTCGGACGTCCTTGGACTTTCTTTGGACATCATTCTGAAATTAAGGAAATTGTAGATCAAATATTGACCATCACATCATCATCTTAACAGATCTCAACATGGGGAAATCAAAGGCAAAGGAAGTTACGCCTCCCGGAACCGTACATGTGGTGAAATGGAGTAGGAAAAGAACCACTCGAGGTATCAAAGGACGGTGGGTGACAGCGGAGCGTACCAAGTCCAGCAAATCAGTGCAGTCATCACCCACCAAGTCACCCACCAAACAAGTTTTGGATGGATTGATGTACAGATTCTCCGAAGACTTCCATGGAGGATATGATGACCAAGGGAGCATCAATCCCATCCGACTTCCAAAAGGCTCAAGGAAAAAGACAAGAAAAACCTTGGCAAGTCAAAATTTACTGATTTTCATTGATATCAGGCTCATCCGATGTGGAAACGATAGACTCCAAATGAATATCTTTGGCAGTGGACTTTTAGGACACAGGATTATCTGAACATCCTGCTAGAATGCGAGGCACCACCTCCGAATCGGGTGTGCTGCTTGTGCGATGGAGATGGAACACAAAAGTGCCAGGACTGTCTAGCCGAGCCCATATTCTGCACGAGGTGCTGCCAGACTCAGCATTCCTTGCTGCCTTTCCACCGGATAAGTCAATGGAACAGCGATTTCTTTGAGACAACTCTCACCAAGTTAGGGGTAGAGATTCACCTGGGCCACAGAGGACAAAAATGTCCCCACCACTGTTGTGAATGGGAAGACACTGATGACGGGGAAGGATCTACCGCACCCTCGGTCTTTGGAACCCCAGGAATACCAGAGGAGGGACATATCAAAAGGAATCAGGATTTTCGGGCATTTCACATCGGAGTCCCGGACACGGGCAATGATTTAGAAGATGTATTCATTAAGTCCAGATGTCGGACTGTCTGGCCGGAACCCCCGGAAGCAAACATACCTATGCCGGGCAGATGTCGGATGACAGTTGTCGACACCTCGGGAATCCACGTCATGTCAATTCGTTTTTGCCAATGCTCTGATGCACTCACAGCGGACAAGCAGTTGTTTGAAATGGGCCTATTTCCGGCATCGTTTACCCGCCCAAAGACGGCCTTCACTTTTGCATTGCTGGACGATTTTATTCGGGACAACCTGGAATGCGGCACTTCCGGTATGAACTATTACAGCAAACTCAGGCAAATCACATCCAGCATGTTCCCCCATTTAGTGCCGGTAAAGTTTGTTCCGTCCCGTGAATTATCGACTAACAAAAAACGTCGGTAGGACCGATATAGGGAGTTACTCAGAGTAGCCAGGCAGTGGTGCCAGCTGAAGCTATTGAAGTGGAACGGATTTGACCACGAGCAGAGGAACCCGAATGATGGTGAGCTGGCTTTGTTCTGCCCGGCATGTCCACAGCCAGGGATAAACATGACTTTGCCAAATGAAGAAGACACTACAACGCAGTGGCTATACTCCCGTTCCCTGGTAATGGACGGAAATTTCAAAGCCGAGCATCTGCACCCAACCAACCCGGAAGATGAGGTCTGGTTGACCGATGGAAAAGGCTTCATGGTGGCGAGAGCCAGATACTGGGCCCATCTAGCAATCGCCGAAGATTCGACTCAGCGGTCGGAATGCAACAACCATAGGGCGGTAAACCAGGCAAACACATCTCGGCACAAATTAGAAGCTACAGGAATCGGGGGGTGCGCATGCGCCCGCCATGGGTGCTTTGTGCCCAATTCAATGGTAGATTTCCAAAAAGGGGAGAGGTAGGCGATTCTGAACATATCAATCCACATATCAATGTCCGGGAGTAGAAGATGAACATGGACTATGCTCTGTGCAATTCCCTCGCCCACAATACCAATGGAATCGGCCGAGCATTGACATTTTACAATGTCAACTGTCAGTACAACAGGCATTTAATTGCACAGGTAGAGAACAGCACAAATCTGTCCATCCCTTCCAGAATTGTGATAACCCTGGGGATAGGACTTTGGCATGTGCACGGACATCAAGACAAATGCTTTGTCTGGTATGCATCAAACTTTATTCCAGGGGCCGGCAGAATTGATGGCGAGATCATGGAGACCCTGTGGGCCACCCTCAACATTATCTCTCCGGCTGCCCGAGGAATGTCTACTCCACACCGGCAAGAATGCCTCAACTATCAGATGAATGACTGTAACTTCATGAAGATGATCCGAATGGGTTTGTCTTTCGATTTGCTCCCAGTCTATCAGGACCTCATTATGACAGGCATGTCCTTGTCCCGGAAGTACAAGGAGGCAAAGCGCGGGGTTGCTGAAAGCAGCGATGCATTCAAAGAATTAAACAACTCGGCCGATCTGGATCTAATACAGGAGTGGCTGGTCCAAGAGAGCACCGCGCAAGCCTGTCAAATACAGGATCTGTCAGCCATGGACATTTACGATGTCCAGTTGAAGAAGGGTGCGTCTCAGCTGTCGAAAATATAATCTGTGATGTACTGATGGCCAATGTCAAAACAGCAAGATCCCGGAAGACAATTGAACTGGACCTCCTACGGACCTCTTTCCGTCAGCTGGGTGAACGGCCTCAAATGGGAGCTGCCACCTGGCTTGCTTCTGGAATCAGTATTGAAGAGATGCAAATTGCTCTGGCGATGGATATAAGGAGGATGGGGAGACATCCGACAGAGACTCAAACCCTGGATATAGCTCGTCGGAGGATTAGGCTCCAACATTCCATTGATGAATTCATGGCCTCCGCAGCCAGGTACCTCGGCGAGGAATTTGATGCGAACGATGTTATCTCTGACATGGACACTGTATTTCTCGATGAGATGGCGGATGACCGGAAGTACAGTGACACGGATTCGGCCGGTGAGACATCACTGGGTAATGGGCGACCATGTGCTGCGTTCAGGCCAGAACTTGTTCTGATACCTCTCCCATCAATTCTGGGTGTAGAACGCTGCGATGAGCTCGGAGTCGCTGGGCTTGTCGCTCAAGAGACAACCCTTCGGGAAGGACAAGCTAATGATGCTTTGCATGCCGTCAGAGTGCATCTGGCAGACAAATCTGTGCTCTTCCAGACGTCCGTGCGGACGGCCAAATCACAAGTGAACACAACCCGTGCTTGGACGCAGGTGCACTCGGTAGAATGTGTAATCAACTTTAATAGCATGATATACAAAAAATGCAGATCACAGCTCTCAAATCTCGGAGCCAGTGAACTCCTGCAGAAATACCGAGAGTTGCATAAAAGTGACCTCAAGGCGAACTCGGCCGTCGCAGATCCCAATGCCCGCGGTCAGCGAAATTCAACACTCCCATGGTTTTGGTCTTTGGATGTGCAAGGAGATTCAGTGAGCAATGACTGGTTGAATGAATGTGAGTCTGATATATCGGGACTTTCTCTTCGGCTCACACGCCCTCAAGTTTACCGGGTTCATTGGCTTCGCACAAAGGCTCTGCAGGACCGCTGGGCAGAGGAGTTCATTCTCATCGGACACAAGATGCGGTGGACCATCAATTTTCTGGTCCACAAAGCCAAGACTTGGATCGGCCGAACTTATCAGATAGATGATGCCGGACGGGACGGTCGTCGGTGCTATGCTATGAAACAGGCACAAATGTACCGATTATTGGCTGAAGATGCTCGGGCCCGTTTTTCTGAGGTCAATCCATCATTTGATCACATCGGCTGACATTAATTGTAATGTTCATATGTGGTTTGGTACCTTATTTATTATGTAAATAGCCACGGTGGCCCACAGGAACAATGGGTTTTTTGTCATGTTTCATCTCTGCGCCATTGTTTACCCCATGGGCCGCATTCCACCACATGACCACTGATGGTCTTATCAAAGTTTCAACTTCCGACTATTTATACTGTGTGATCTTCCATTTGTCAAACCTCACCAACGCGCCATCGATATCACATTTCATTATGTCAAACAGCTTTGTATATACCCAAAATTCAGTTCAAGTCGCTGTCTCACTATGGGATGTCACAAATATCTTCGATTATGCGACATCTCGGTTCACCACAATCCAGTCGTCTCTTGACACCAAAAAAGTGCCTATGTCAGAAATCTCCAGGGGTGCCTTGCAAGTGTTCCTTATTGGGACATTAATTTGATGACTGACAACTACATTGCGTCCGTATTCCCATAGGGTGTGAGTTATTTTAGGGCGCTTGAAAGGATGCACGTGTCGCTTACAAGTATTTTTAGCGCTTCCAAGTTGCTTCCAAGGCTTCGGTGCATAAGATTCAGACTGAGTTCGTCAGAAGTTGCCGATATTAACTGTCATGTTAATACAGTTATGGTGAATGATGCTAACGTCGAGTCGACTTATAAAATTTGTTGCCTCTACTATCTTCTCAGTATTGTCTCCTCCCTTTCTGTGTCTGTATTTTTAACAACACTCCTGTATGGCGCCAAGCAGAAGCATCGCAAATGGTCCAGCCAGGCGACGCAAGTATACTGTCAATGTACTAAATATACCCTCGGCCTCCAACAACCAAATTCATTGTCAATACTGCGATAAGTCGTTCTCGTCTCGCGGGATACGATCTCACGAGCAAAGTTGTTTGAGAAGACGAGAGAAAAAGAAGGATGATGATGAGTTTGCAGTGCTCGCAGCGCAGGCGGTTGAGGAGCAAATCAAACGGAAAGGTACGTGGTGAATTGTGCTTCTATCGACTTAAAGCAATAGTACTAATATCTCTTACCACACAATCATCAGAGTTACGTCGAAAGAGAAAGCATCTTCTCAAGGAACAAGCGGCTGCGACACATAATATTGGCTCCCCATCGTCAGACCCTTCAACGTCATTCCAGGATCGCACAGAGAATGCACCCGATGAATTTATCGTGGGCCCATCATTTGAAACGGTACCAGATGTTGATGTGATGAGTATCAGTGGAGACTCACGGCAACGTATGTACTTTGACTGATCACAATGCGCTCCTCATCCATTTTTTTCACAATTCAGGTGCAGGTTCAGATTCCAGCATGGCATCTCACGCTCCCACACCCCTTGCTCTATCCTTGCTTTCAGCAGTACCTTCGGTTCACTCTGATCTCGATACATTTAAGACGGAGTATCACCCAAAATCTGGTCGTGCAACCTCCATCGAGACTTTCTCTACGTTCGGACGCAACCAAGATCAGCAGCCGCCTATCGTTGACGAAGAACCTTGGCAGCCATTCAGCTGTCGTGCAGACTTTGAATTTGCCGAACTTGCACACAATGCTGCCCTTAACAAGGACCACACAGATGCGCTATTACAACTCATCTGGAGAATCGTTGATGGTCAAGCAAACATTACCTTCAAGTCCCACCGCGATGTTTCTGTAGCCTGGGATAGGGCGGCTGGCCAGATGACACCTGTAAGAGGAGAATGTCGCATTTCCCTTTTGTAGCTACCAATACCTTTACAGTTCGAGAAGCATACTATCACGACCCGGCATAAACGGGAAGACCTCGTGTTTCATGTATATACACGCCCATTGTGGGACTGGGCTTTGGACTTATTACAGGACCCATTGCTGGTGCCGCACTTTGTTTGGGATGCGCAGCGGGTATATAAACACGATGGGACACGTTACGAGCGCTTTTACCATGAACCTTGGACTGCGGATCGCTGGTGGAATGTCCAAGTATGACTTATTTTTTGTACTATCATTCGTTAAACAATACCCTTTCTTGCATGTATTACAGTCATCTTTACCTGAAAACGCTGTCCCTTTCGCATTTATTCTGTATGCAGACAAGACGCACCTCTCTTCCGCTGGTACAGTCAAAGCTTATCCGGTCTTCGCTCATTGTGGAAACTTGCCCGTTGACATTAGAAACACTGACGGGCTTGGTGGTGGGCGGATGGTCGGTTGGTTACCAATAGTACGTCTTTAAATTTAGGAACTGAAACCAGTCTCGTTACTCCTGAGTTTCTTTTGCACAGGTTCCCGACGATTCTGAAGAGGATGGCAAGCTGTCATACGTGAACCTCAAATGTGTTGTATGGCATGAAGGGTTTTTTAAGCTGCTCAAAACCATTATACTCTACGCCAAGACAGGGTATGCGCATCTCTGTTATGATGGTATCGTTAGGTGGTTGTATGCGTTCATTTTGCTCTTATCTGCTGACTATGAGGAACAGTATGTTGTATACTAATTTCTGTAGACAAATTTCTGATCGGTCAACGATAGATGTGTCATGGCACTGATACGGGGACGAATTGTCATTGCCCATGTCCTATTTGCCTTGTCCCATCCGATAAGCTGTACGACAATGCTTCAACTTATCCAATCCGAACGCCCGAAGACGCACAAGCTTGCGTAGAACTATGGAATAGGGACAAAACAGCTGGAGAAGAGGCATTAAAAAAATGGGGCCTTTGGCCAGTTATGGCCAGTACTCATTATTATATTCTTGATTGAATCTGACTTTCTTTATTGTAGAATGTCTTTTGGCGGCTCCCAAATTCCAACCCACACGAAACAATCTCGCAGGACCACCTTCACGTGTATCATATAGAGGAATGGGGGAAACATTTATTTGGTGAGCTTAAACGACACGCAGCGGCTCTGGGACGTGGTGCTGAGAAAAAGATTGATGACCAGTGAGTTGATTTATCGTACCAATCTGCTCACCATCTGAATCCGACTATTCAATTGCCTATAGATTTGCTACCTTCACACGATGGCACAATTTGAATCATTTCGATCGAGTTACTAACATTACCTACAGTGACGGTAATAAACTTAGGGACATTTCTAAGGTACGACACGTTGATTTGACATTGACAGACCACTTAAATTTGATTTCGATAGCAAATTTTATATACCACCCAGAATGTACTGATGCGCACGGATGATGAAGCTGGCTATGCACTTTTACGGTGCATAGCGAGTTATCTCCATATTGACATGTATGTATCTCTCGATGTGCACACAGAGAGCACAATCAAAGCAGGAAAAGCCGAGGTTTTGGAATTTCAGACGCATTTAGAAGTATGTTGTGTTGATTCCGTGTCTCCGGTCAATGTAGTGTACTGACAATAGCATTATATCATAGGAATACATCGCAATTGTCGATGAGACTGATCCAGATACGATTAAGAACTGGAATTTCCCCAAAATGCACACCTCAAAGCACATATTTGACGACATCATAGCGAAAGGCGCCGCTCGCAACTTCAGTACTCGACCGAATGAAAAGCAGCATGGACCAATCAAGTGTTGGTATCTACGGCAGACTAATTGTAAGGACATTGCTAATCAGGTATGACATCGCCTACTCTGAAAGTTTACTTCCCATCAATAACTTAAACTTCGTGTATACCATAGATTATCGAACTCGATCATAAGAGCTTTGTTGCCGAATTTGTTCGCAGCCGTATCGACTATCTTGACGAGGAACGACACAAACTTACACTCTCACAGGAAGAACTCGAGGAAAACGACAACGACAATGAGCCATTTGAAGCTCACCTGCATATCGGTTCGCCCTTGAGGAATCTTACCAGCCTAGCACAGGTAGAGGAAGAACACAGGTCAAATCGCGCCTTCGACCAGTTCAGGAAGAAGCTCACAACATTTTTGAATCACTTCCTACCCTCCCACCACATACCATTACCAGACGGAATAATGTGGTTGAAACTTTCAGCGCAAGACCTGGTGAATTTCCTTCATTCTGAAGTTTTAGTTGAATCTCTGATGCTGCGTTTTTTTCAAAAGATACATGAACATCGCTATCTCAAAGTCCAATATGAGTCGACCGCTACCTGGAAGTTAACCACCGACTATCTGCGATGCAGTCCAAGTTTTCATGGCCATGAGCGTCATGACTGCGCTCTAATCCGCACGCAGGACAAGGATGGCTGCGATAAAAATATCTTTGTTAAATTATTATTCATGTTCAAGCACATTGTCGGCAACCGCACCTTAGATCTCGCTTTGGTTCTTCCCATGGACGCTTCACCACGTCGGCGCCTCCTAGATCGAGACCTGCGACTCACTCGTCTGCGTGCACGGCCCGCAGCTTCATCTGAATTCATCACCCTTCATTCAATTATTCGTGGTGCTTTGCTTGTCCCAGATTTTGACAACAATGGGGATTATTTTCTTGTTGACTATATCGATACTGACATGTTTCTTCGCGTCCAAAGGAAACTTATATAACTTATCATTCCCTCCTCCAGCAGGAATCCTTGGGCCATCATCTCTTCGGTCTGCCTTCATGCTCGCTTCCAAGGTCATCTGTGACGACACAGTCACCGTCTTTTCATATCTGCTTTCATGCTCGCATCCAAGGTCATCTGTGACGACACAGTCACCATCTTTTCGTATCCGCTTTCATGCTCGCATCCAAGATTATCTGTGACGATACAGTCACCATCTTTTCGTATCCGCTTTCATGCTCACATCCAAGGTTATCTGTGATGACACTTACTCCAACAAATCAGCGTTGGACACAGTCTGCTTGCTTGCCCAGAGCATCCTTCATCCCCAAGTAAGCACCCTCATTTCATTGCATATGCTAATGGTTGTGCATCCGGCTCATCACCCATCTCTTTGCTTGTCCAGAGTACTACCCCATTGGCAAGGAAGCTCCCCCATTCCATCGCCTATGCCAACATTGTGCACCTGGTATTACCTCCACCCCCATCCAACTCCCACTGATGAGCAAAGCTCCCTCATTTCGTCGCATTGCCCTTCCCGCACAAAACTCCAGTCCTCCATCAATTTCACTGCTCCCACCACTTGGGCATCTTTGGGTCACCATCTCTTCGTATCCACTTTCATGCTCGCATCCAAGGTTATCTGTGATGATACAGTCACCCTCTTTTCGTATCCGCTTTCATGCTCGCATCCAAGGTTATCTGTGACGATACAGTCACCCTCTTTTCGTATCCGCTTTCATGCTTGCATCCAAGGTTATCTGTGACGATGCAGTCACCATCTTTTCGTATCCACTTTCATGCTCGCATCCAAGGTTATCTGTGACGACACTTACTCCAACAAATCCTGGAGCAGCTACTTGCTTATCTATGCTCTTCACCGCATCAAATTCCACGGCATCTGTCACCTTCACTACTCTCAATCTCGCCTATTGAACCTGCCTTTTATATCAATACCACGTACTCCAGACACCCGCCACCCTCATTCTCCTCTTTCGTCACTGCGCAAGGTCTTGGAAGCACGAGGTCAGTTTGTTCATTAATCATCGCTTCCAAGTGGATATGCGATGGTTATATTATGTTTCTGATAAGGGTACGTGTTTTGCTACCATCTTATTACATCAACAGGGTCTGACACTACCCGAACAGCGCTGATTTAAAGTGTGTTTGACTAATTCAGATGTTCCCAGCTTGCTCTTTGTTACATTCTCTAAACTGCCATGCCTCAGCGCACCCAAGGCGAAGACTTTACTCAAGATATTCAGAATATAGATAGCAGCTCCGCTGCTGACTCGACAGATTCAGACAGTGACCAGTCCAATGACGATTCAGATTTATTGCGTGTTCGTACTGCAATTGCAGCACCTCCTCTCAATGCATCAGCCGAAGATCTTCGCAAGGCAAGTCTTTATGTTGTGAATGAACGACAGCAGCTGATCAATCGTCTCTATTAGGCACTCGAACTTGCACAAAGGCTACTTCTAGATATGCGAGGAAAGTACCGGGAGGCTCTGAAGAAGAACACTCTCCTTGAGGCTACACTTTCAAAAGGTCGGAAGACAAAGCTCACCAACAAGGACCTCGCACTCGCCACCAAGGAAGATACCATCAAGAACTACGGACGCAAGTTTTCTGTCACACACTGCCTCTGGGTCGATACCATCATTTTCCCCTTGCGTGCGCCACCTCCTAGGATTGATCTCACAAGCAAAGAGTGGTGGCTCTCTCCGATGTCAATACAGGATGGCGTCAAAGCCGAAATCTTTCTTTTTATTCTGCCAGCAGACCACAACATGATGGCCCATAAGAACTTCGGTTCCCATGTAAGTAGTACATCAGTGTACGAATCATGAATCATTCCTGCTGATCGTCTTTTAAGTTTGTCAAAGGCGTCAATAGTGTTCGTGCCGAAATGGTTTCTGATGTCAAGTCGTGTGCAGCCGCCATTTTCAATCTCGACGCAAAGTTCTTCATACGAGGGTATGCACGGGATTTGGAGCCTGCATGTCGCGCCTTGCTCCTTAACCCTCAAGGTGCATACACGAAGTTTGCACCAGTTCTCTTCCCTCGTCCAGATCGTGTCTCCTGAGACGACTTTTTCAAAACATCAAAGCTCGTTTATGTACGTTCTTCTCCTTTCTGACACACACATCCTGAATAGTCTGAGTAGATCTTGAAAGCGTCTCTTTTTGGCCGATCCTCGCTAGCTGCCAATGCGCCTCCAATGCCTAAAACCAAAGCTAAGATATGGGAGTTACGTGCCGTAACTCCAGGCCTCATCGCAGCAGCAGCAATCGTTGTACGTTCGTTAAATCTACCTTGCAGAACACGTACTAAACTAGGCTGCAGGCTATCTTTATTCTTTCTGGCGACAAAGAGCTAGTCGAGATAGGTGACAAGTCTCGAATCTCATACAAAGAGTACCATAACTACTACCGTCAAACTCTGATGACCAGCGGCGCCTGGGCCAACAGCATTTACACCTTCTTCAACAATTCCCTCTTTGCTACTTCTTCCTCTGTAGCTGCTCTGGGCTCAGACTTTGTAGGTGTGAGCAGTGGTCCACACAATACCTGGGAAGAGGATTTCGAGCGTGTGATGGAAACGGGGGGTGATTTGCCAGAAGTTGATGCTCCCCGAGCCATATCACCACTCACTGACGAAGAAGATACCCCACCGTCAGCTGTCCGTCGTGTTGCCAACTTGAATGCACCTAATATTCTCGCACCTGAATCTATATCTGCGGCTATGCAAGGTCTTGCTGTAGCAGATTCACAGGACCGCGAGCTATTGCCACCTACGCCTGCACTCAACGATTTGGGCTCGCAGGCACCTGAAATGCTTACCAACGATTCAGAGTCTGGTCCAGGTGCTCTCATTCAGAAACCCAAGCCCAAGCCCAAGCCAAGGCGCAAGACCAAGGGTGGAGCCAGGGCCGAGGATTTAATGTTAGGTGCTGCTGATGAGGATCTGGCATTGGTGCGAAGGTCTGGCCACGCAAAGAAATAATAGTATTAGTCTAAGACTGACAATGGTCCTTTGATTTGTCGATGATTCATTGATACTTACTATGATTGTGACTTGCTTACATGTGTCTCGTGATTCACTCAGACAGTTTGACTGGAAGAAAACTGATAATTATTATATTACACTCTGTGAAGTCCAATAAGCGACTGCTGGATGGTGAGTACTGACAATGTCAGACGTTGACAACAACGACAAACATATTATATAATAAGTTATTATGAATCAGCCGTTGTGACACTTAGACTTGAACTTGTTCAACCACCGTCACTGTAGTTTGATATTACGTTGACGATGACATCCAAATCAATGTTTGTTTTCATTTCGATTCATCCATATTATTGACAGACTCTGACATGATTCATTGACAGATTTTAAAGATATTATTACTGAAAGCCTGGACCAATTTTGGTCCAGGCATTCTCAATTAGTTGCAAGTGTCTCACCCTTAGACTGTCTTGTCATCTGCCTCCCAATGGACCACTCCCAACGTCTCCTCAAATATTGATGTTGTACTGTCGTCTACCTCCACTCCCTGGACCGTCTCCTGAGGCTCTCTGCACTCCCGTCATCTACCTCCACTCCCGTCGTCTACCTCCACTCCCGTTGTCTACCTCCGCTCCCGTCTCCTGGAGCTCTCTGCACCCCGTTGTCTACCTCCACTCCCGTCTCCTGAAGCTCTCTGCACCCCGTTGTCTACCTCCGCTCCCATCTCCTGAAGCTCTCTGCACCCCGTTGTCTACCTCCACTCCCGTCTCCTGGAGCTTGGTACCGTCGTCTGCCTCCCCATTGTGTGTATTCATTCATCCAAGGTTAGTAAGACTGATCTTCTATCTGTATCGTCTTCAACTGAACCCTCCCCATTGGGATTATCATTTCCAGAAAATTATGATTGTGACGGAGACCGCAATTCAAAATGCGAGAGATTGGGGGGAAATGAGAATGATTGGAATGCGATTGGGGGCATTTTCATATATTATCATTAGTAGTGTTATTATATTAAATAATCAAAATGATCCAAATTTGCTCGAAAGACTTGGATGATTTTAAGGCCTTGGAAGGACCTTGTCGCTTGCAATGATGTCCCAATTAGGGTACATAAATATTGCTCGAAATTTTGCCCTTGCATTGGAATGGTCCTGGGACCCACTTGCAAGAACCCCTATATCGCTTTCAAAATTTTCGGGTTGTCTTCCAAGTGAGTCGTAATGCCGCCGGCAAATTGAGGCCTTCCAATCCATTTTAAGGCATGCCAACCAAAATTAGAAATTTCTGACATAGAACACCGGGTTTTCGAAAGCTGTTCATTCGGCATCTCGTTTGGGAGGCCAAGGTGAGTTCTTACATCTCCTTAATCGAATGTCTTGTCATCGGCTGACTCACATCATATGCAGAGATTTGTTTTTCCGTTCATTCAACTATGTGCGACCAGCAACACAGCCCCGGCATTGCCGGAATATCTCAATGAGGTCGTGAAGATGATCACGGGCTGGCAGTTGGGGTTGTCAGACGACGACAATCTTTTCGACAAATTCACCACCCATGGATCTGACATATCTACCGACCTCATGAGCCCTTACCGAGGCGTGCGTATACCCAACTACGGTTGGTGGAAGGACTGATTCAATGTCCTCGGATTCGAGATGCCAGACCGGATCACATTGGATGAAGTGATTGAGCTCTCTCAGGCCCATGCTATGCAGACCATAAGTCATCTATTCTCATTGTTCTTCCAGTTATCTAATCATTCCATCTCTCGGCCTTGTTGCAACAGGCAGGGAATATGTTGCTGCCAGATATGTGCAGTCAACAAAGTGGTCCCGACCCTCTGTTGAATAACCTGTGAACCGTCCGGGATGACATTCAAGCATTCAGGATAGCACTTGAGCAATGGCTCCAACAAAAGATCAAAGATGGTAGGGCGGCTTTGGACAACATGGCCCGCTTTGAGGGTCCAGTAGATGACCTACACGATGCCATTGTGGCAACAAAGGATGAAGAGGAATAGTTTTACTCAGAATCGCTAGATAGTTTAGATGACCGTATTTTTTTTACCAAGTTGAACCATGCAATCTCTGGCATAGTAACAATCTAGACATAATGAAAATTTGATTTTCCGGACCCAGTAGGAGGTATTTTGGTGATGTGCCAATATTTCATCATCACCTTGAATATCCGGGGATATTATGTCCAGGATTTAAATTCAACTGCCGTGATCTCGCTTCCGGCGCTCACAGGCTGCATTGTTACGTCCCATCATTTTACGTCCCATTCATGCAATGGGCCACGAGGCTCGGTCGATGGACATTTAAGTCGGGCATGATACGAAAAAATCGATTTACCCTTCAAAGATGACCCATACCGCAGGTGAAGGGTGTCCTTACGCTAGCCATCTTGCATTTCTTTGCGATGGGAGGAGCCACATGCCTGTCATACCGGAAGACTGGGCATTGTATACCACCCACATGGCCAGCGAGTGGGTGGAGCAGCAATTCCTTGCCCATGTATCCGGATGACCATTGGTCGACCCGCTGGCCAGTTTGGACCTACCCACCTTGCTGTCTTGCGGGCACCTAACCTTCCTCATGGCCGAGGCCTATCAACACCCGAGTAAGTGACACTAAATTGTGTTCTCAACATCTACGCTCACATTTCCGTCCGGATGAAGTCAAACTGGATATTGATATTATTCGGTACAATGAGGCCCTAGCCAAACGGGAATCGGGGATGAATGCCCAAGAGGATGCCTTGATGGCGAGATTTCCTCCGGCCGAAAATATCTTGTTGGACCGTCCTTCAGTGGTCATTGACTCTGGATACAGGATTATTCTTTGGTATATACCGGATGCTTTGACACCGTGGGTGCAGGTGAGTTCCTCGGCTGATGCTCGCAGCTCTGAATGACCATTCTTTTCATAGAATGATATGTTTTTGGCGACCCTTTCCATGGGCGATCTGTTAAAAAGGAGCATCACGAATGGCAAGTCAGGTGGTTGGAGGACCCACAGGACAAATTTCTACCAGACAGAAACCCCGGGATTGACACCTGGCTGCATCAACATTGTGCCATGTTGGTTCCAGCAAGGACATGAGGTGGGTCTCCATGGCTCCAGCTCCATGTGATACTCAATACAATGCAGTGCTATGGCCTGCCTCCTGAGAATCCAGACGATGGATTTAAACCCGAGGTGTCTGCAACATTGAAGGGCGATAGGAGCCTGGCAATGATAACCGCAATGCAAAGACTGGCCTTGCTAGCTTCTGCTGCCTTGCATGTCATGCACCCTCAGCTCTACTGGGCTTCCGTCAGGACCCATGTTGAACTCGGGCATTGGTCTGCTGAGCAAGGCTTGCACGACATGCATAGGTTTTTAAAGCATTGGGCTTTGGTTTACACTGGTGCTGCCGTCGTTTGTAACCGTGACTCCCCCGATCACCGAGATCCAAAATGTCCTCCTGAGGCATTTGACATTCTAACGTCCATAGGCAACTACCGGCATGCGGTGATGCATTTGACGAATCTCGGAATCGACTTGGTATACACCCCCGGAGTGATGGTGAGCTATTCCGGCCGTCTGGTAAGGCATGGCATCCGCGTTGACGATGGTGATCGGATAGTTTGGGCCTGGTTTCTCCGAGACAGTGTGCATAATTATGCCAGAACCCCTCGCCCGGATTACACGAGATACGATCCTTCCCATCTTAATCCATCTAGGGTGGCTAAGTACAACCAAGCAGATTTTGCAATATATGGCACAATGTAGCCTCGCCTCTGACCCTTCCTTTACCCACTTTCTTCATACTTGTGCATATCCTTATACAATAATCACTTTTTACACACTTGCCCAAAAGTTTATCCGGTCATCCCATTAAATTAGATTCCAAATCTGTACTTATCATCACATTCATTTACTGAAATACATCCATTTAACAATTTACTCTTGCTGCTGTGATAATTGAAGATAAATCTGCATTGGTAGGATAGAAGAATATCATCCAAGCTGTTTATTCCACCCACTTCTATATCCAGTCATGACCTTAAGTACAATGTTCAGGGTGTAAGTCATGCCATTCGGTGAGACGATTCTGGGCAGATACAGGAAGGGAACTCTTCTGGGTTCATTCTACCGAGCCCGACATAATAGATTGATATCATCCATGCAATTTCATGTGCATCAGACATGAGTCCCTCGAACCTGGTAGTGAAATTCATGACCATCAACCCAGGGCCAAGTATAGCCCTGCATCAGCACATCGGTATTGGACGTCCGAATCAAAATGATCACCTCAGTCCTGGCCATCACCATCTTCTCCATCCAACTGGGCCTAATCATTGCATTTGTGTACATACCTGGTATGATAAGTTAGTATCATCGGAGCTATTTTTTATGTACAGCCAGTTCAGTGCACTAATTTCGGTAGTGGGATTTAACCAATGGGCCCGGATGTGACACCTGAGCCCATCAACGTGGTCCCGGACATCACATACAAGGCCATCGACCTGGACCTGGATGTCAAATTCTGCCCCATCCAACTGGGACCAACCCATGCATTTGTGCAAAACCACCTTCGGCCCAGCCATGAAATTCCATATAATCACACCAGGCCCGGACGTGACACCTGAGCCCATCAACTTCATCCCGGATGTGACATATGAGGCCATTAACCTGGACCCGGATGTCAAATTCTGCCCAATCCAACTGGGACCAACCCATGCATTTGTGCACAACCACCTTCGGCCCAGCCGTGAAATTCCATATACTCACACCAGTGACACCCGAGCCCATCAATGTGGTCCCGGATGTGACATATGAGGCCATCGACCTGGACCGGATGTCAAATTCCGCCCTACCCAACTGGGCCCAACCCATGCATTTGTGCATCACCACCTTCGGCCCAGCCGTGAAATTCCATATAATCACACTGTGCCCGGACATGACATCCAAGCCCATCAACTTGGGCCTGAATGTCAAATTCCGCCCTATCCAACTGGGCCCAACCCATGCATTTGAGCATAACCACCTTCGGCCCAGCCGTGAAATTCCATCTCATCACACTGGGCCCAGACATCAATTTTCTAACACCCCCTTCGGCCCAACCATGTATCCTTCCATTGTCAGTTGTCACCCATGGGCCCAGCCGTCAATACCGATGCATCACAAACATCATGGGCCCACCCGTGTTTTCAAACCCACAGTTGGATCTGGGCCCATTCGGATGGACCGTCTCACTCGGAAGAATCTCAACTTCAGGTGTTCGTGTAACACGGGGGAAAGTGACTGAATGGGCTCTCCAGGGATCCAGAACGCGGAGGATGTGAAGCTTCTACTTCCTTCTGCTATTGGTAATCGTCCATGCCACGACTGCTTGTGACTCTACGAATGGGAAATATGGCTGGCTCAAGCACACGATGCTCTGGAAGAGCTTCATCAATGCCTGCAGATATGGTCGTCACTCTTGATGTACAAAAAAGAGTGGGTGCTATTGAGTTCTAAGGCGAGCGGACGAGTCAGGACGGAGCTAGAATGTATATCTCAGTCTCTTGAAAACGGACTCTAACATTGTATGTACCTAGAACATATCTAGGTCGCATTAGTTATGCAAACATTAGGTAAAACTATGTACTCACATCTCAGTCTCTTGAAAACGGACTGAGATGTTCCTCGTAAATGCGAAGTGCTTTAAGCACGGATGGAACAGGAATGAAAATTTATCAATATATCAAAATGTGCGAGCCGACGTCAAGCATCGCTCGCTCTGCTCTTTTGGTATGCGCTCGAACTGCCATCTCCCCTCATCGTCCCAATATCGGATATCTCGGGCATCTGCTTATCAGATCTCTCAGATTCCAATACTCCCCCTCGAGTGGATTCCAAACTCATCATGCCTTGAAGCTTTTGGAGGCGAGGGCGTGCAAGGGGTTTGGTGAAAGCATCGGCGACGTTGTCGTCCATGGGGCAGTAGAATAGTTGGAATGTGCCTTCCTTTATATGGGCGCAGATAAAGTGATAGCGGATGGATATGTGCTTGGTGCATGATTGGAATTTTCCATTCAAAGCAAGAGCGATTGCAGCTTGGTTATCACAGTACACTGGAGTGGGGAGAGTGGGTGGCCCATACAGTTCTTCAGTGATGTACTGCAAGTATAGGAGCTCTCGGGCGACTGTGGTAAGGGCGATGTACTCTGCCTCGGCAGTAGATAATGTGATCAAAGGCTGCTTATGTGCGCTCCAAGCAATGGGCCCACCATTCAACATTATGACGTATCCTGACATTGAATGCTGATGGGGCTGAGACGCCCAGTCCGCATCTACGAATGCCTCAAGACCTCCATCAGTGGCACCAAGGGTGAGTTTGAAGTGAGCTGTGGCTTTTAGGTAGCGCATGACGCACTTGGCTGCCTCCCAGTGCGCCCTTCCCGGATTGCGCATAAACTGGGATAATGTGGCGACTGCAAATGCTATATCTGGTCTGGTGCTGGTGGCCGCATACATCAACGGGCCTATAGCTCGTTGGTATGGCACATCACTCATGGCCTGGAGTTTGGCATGCATGGCAGGGGACTGTTCGGGAGACAGTACGGTGCTGGAGTCCATAGGCGTACTCGCACTCTTGGCATCTGAAAGATTAAAACGTTCGAGAATTGTCTCGACATAAGCCTTTTGGGATAGTGTGATAGTGCGGGCGGCACGATCTCGAGTGACTTTGAGGCCCAACAGCCAGCTTAATTCACTGAGGTCTGATATTTCGAAGTATTCTTGAAGTTGAGATTTGAAGTGTTGAATGTGGGAGATGTGATTGGCGGTGACAGCCATGTCGTCGACGGAGACAGTGATGACGATGTGTTCATCCGTCGTACGTTTGAAATAGACCGCCTGGTCCACTTGTGAGCGCGCAAAGCCTAACTTGGCGAACACACCAGCTAATTCCTCCGCCCATTCAAAACCGGCCTGTTTGAGACCTGGCAAGCTTCTCTTCAGCTTCAGCACCTTCCCGCACTCTCCCTCTCCCAAGTATCCAGGTGGCGGCCTCATATACACGCCCTCCTGGACATCAGCATAGAGGTACGCACTTTTAACATCTACTTGATGTATTTCCCAATCTAGGTGGGCCACCATGGCCAATACTGTGCGGATTGTAACCATGTTGCAGGTGGGCATGAAGGTATCAAAATAGTCTAGTCCATATTGCTGCCGTTGACCATTTGCAACGAGGCGCGCCCGGAGTTTAAGCTTTTTGCTGTTCAGTCCACACTTGGTGGCCAGAACGTAATGACATGGTATGACGTTTACGTCACGTGGTAAGTCGGTAACTTTCCAAGTGCCGAGTTTCTCCAACTGACTGATTTCATAATCAATGGCCTCTTGCCATTCTGCACCATCTGGGCCGTTCAGCGCCTGCTGCAACGTGGGCTCTGGCTGCACTGCCGCCATGGTGTACTGGTGAGTGACGTACTCTTCGTCCCCATGTACTGACTGTTCTTCCTCTCCCCAGTTTAGGGTTTCTACTGCAATGTTAGCTCTCTCCCCCTCATTTAGGGCGCTATAGTAGCCTGGAGGGGGGCGCACTCTGGTGGTCTGTGGTGCTGCTGGAGGTTCTGGTAGGAGGTTGAGGGTTCTTGGAGGTGTGGTTGGCGCTTTTGGTGTTGGGGATGGGGGTGTTGCTGTTGCTGGTGTCGCTTGGCCGGATACCGTGTGCCCCCCCTCGGCCGCTACGTCAGCAGCAACGTCCACAGTGAGAGGTGCAAAACTGATGTTCCTCTCAACCAAGATCTTACGCTTTCCAGGCCAATATATGAGGTACCCCTTGCTCTCCCCGTCCACGCCAACAAAAATTGCCTCTTCTGCCCTTGCCTCAAGTTTCCCTACATCCGCCTGGTGGACAAACACCTTCTCGCCGAACTCGTGCACATTGGCGAGATCTGGTTTAGCATTGTGGACGAGCTCGTAGGGAGTGTTGCCAGGAATGGCCCTAGAAGGTGCGCAATTCTTCAACCATACTGCATAGTTGACTGCCTCTGCCCATAGGTATTTCAGGAGGTCCCGGCCAAGGATCATAGCACGTGCAAGAGACACAAGGGTTCGATTGAGGCGTTCAGCAATGCCATTTTGTTGGGGGGAGTCATGAACGGTAAGCTCTCGTTCAATGCCTTGTTGCCGCAGGTACTTATCAAACTCTGCAGAAAGGTATTCCCCACCTCGATCCGACCGCACCTTTTGAATGTGTGCTCCTGGATGTTGTCGAACGAGATTAGCCTCGTACTCTTGGAACGCCATGAGTGCCTCGCTCTTCGCCTTTAGGAATTTGACCTTAGTTTCACGGGAAAAATCATCCATGAAACTGATATAGTACGAAGACCCAGCTATACTGGTCGTTTGCGCTGGCCCCCACAGGTGAGTGTGTATCAGACCCGCGTAAGTGGTTGCCCAGTCTTTTGACTCTGCATGGTAGGATTGATGCGTGGCTTTCGCCTTGATGCAGACCTCGCAAAACTGTTGGGGCATTGTAGCGTCGACATCCAGCCCTTTAATCAGGCACTTTTCCAGCATCAGCTTAACTGCGGATTGCAACATGTGCCCTAGGATACGGTGGGCATCGTAAAGGCTAAGTTTTCCTTTGGCGATGTTCACGCACTCTTGTCGGTTACTGACAACGGTGTAGAGACCTTCCAACTGCAGGATTTCCGCAATTACCTTGCGCTTGGGCCCAGGTGAGAGTATTTTGCACATTTTCCCCTTGAAATGAACGGCTAATCCCGCTGCAGTGATTCTGTTGGTGGATATGAGAGTGAAGGCCAATTTCGGCGCATAAAGGGCACTTTTAAGGACAACAGAGGTGCGCCTATCTCCCAGTGGTAAGTCGATGTTGACGTCACCATGACCTATCACGCTGACTGCTGACCCATCTGCAGTATGTATATCCTGCGGTGGGATGGAGACGTAGTTTGTGAATTTTGCACGGTCAGGGCAAAAATGAGAGGTAGCACCAGAGTCCATGATGGCTCCCTGGCGATCAACAGGTACATCAAGATCCGATGGCAGCTAAGTCTAGTGACCTGCGTCCTTTGGAAGGAGAAACTAGCACGTTGCGAATGCATACTTGTCCTGAGCGCTACTCTGCTTGCTTGTAGTGGCCTTTACAGTCGCAATTAAAGCATGTAATATCCGAGGAGGCTGTATTTGTGTTATTCAAGCTGCGGGGCTTATTGTTGGTGGTCCTTGCGGATAGGGCAGAGTTTCCTCCCTTCCTTCCAGGACGTCGCTCAGTAAGCATTCGATGCTCATACTCCTCGCTGACAACACTGATGAGTTCGTAGGGGCTGATTGGCTTCTGGGTCACCTTGGCGGCCACATTTATGGAGGATAGGAGGGGTCTATATGATTCGGGAAGGGAGCCTATTATGATGGCGTAAAAATCACGGTCCTCGATGTCAGCTCCCATCCCCACTAGGGACTCGCGTAGGCGCAGGAGCTCACTGAGGTGAGCCTTAGCATCCGTGCTCTCATCGCATCTAAGATCCTGCAGACATCGACAAAGGTCGATCTGGACCAGCTTGGTCTTGCCTTCATGAATATCGTGGATCTCCTCCCAGATCTGTGCAGCGCCCTCGAGCTTCTGCACTCGCAGTAACAGCCGATCCGTGATCGTGCTGAAAATCTGCTGCTTCATGAGTGAGTCCTTTTGAAAGTACTCATCCATCTTCACATCCAGCTCATCCATCTCCTTTTGCGTAGGTATTGAGCCATCAGGCTTCGAGACTGCACGTGTCTTCGCATCGACTTTGAATGGGACAGGTTTTATTGCACGGCCGTCGACGTAATGCATCAAACCTTGGGCACCAATTGCAGTGAGCATCCGCTCCTTATAGGTAATCCAGTTACTGCCATCTTTGGCTAGTTTGGGGACGTTAAACAATGCGGAATTGGTACTGGGGAGCGCGGAGTCCATGGTCGTGTCAGGGCTCATAACCTATTGAGTTCTAAGGCGAGCGGACGAGTCAGGACGGAGCTAGAACGTATATCTCAGTCTCTTGAAAATGGACTCTAACATTGTATGTACCTAGAACATATCTAGGTCGCATTAGTTATGCAAACGTTAGGTAAAACTATGTACTCACATCTCAGTCTCTTGAAAACGGACTGAGATGTTCCTCATAAATGCGAAGTGCTTTAAGCACGGATGGAACAGGAATGAAAATTTATCAATATATCAAAACATGCGAGCCAACGTCAAGCGTCCCTCGCTCTGCTCTTTTGGTATGCGCTCGAACTGCCATCTCCCCTCATCGTCCTGATATCGGATATCTCGGGCATCTGCTTATCGGATCTCTCGGATTCCAATAGGTGCGTGGGCAGGGTGGAAACATGAGGGCTCAGAGTGCATTGGAATGGGTGAGTGCAAGACAAGCAGCATGTACTGCACACTACCATGCTTCATGGGGTGCATTGAATGTGCTGGCCCGAGAGCTTGGAAAGGTGGGATGGCAAGGGGGACTTCAGCCACTGGAAGATGAGGATATCAGACCACTTATTGATCTGTATGCCATGCCAGGGCAGGGGAGACAAAAGCTGACGTGGATTTGGAGGATGAGTGGCATGGATAGTGATGGAGATGGCACAGATGAAGATGGTGAGCTGCGGTATTCAACATCGCATGAAAGACTAACATTCATATAGGTGTGAGGGTAGAATGGTGCAAAGCCCGAGCTCGTGCGATGCGCTGGTCTGAGGAGGTTGAGCTGCTTCACGAGGAGATGTGCCATGTCCTTCAATTTTTTCAGTGGCAGGCTACCTGGTGGGATGATCAAGGGAATCAGCGTGTAGAGGAGGACAAAGGATGTCTTGAGGGTATACGAGCTTATGTGGCCAAGCAAGGACACATTCGCCACGTGTTCACTGATCAGTTTCACACTTTATGGTCTCCTTTCTTATCTCCCGACACTGTACCATTAACAAGGCTTGTATCTGATGCAGACCACACTGCTGACCTCCCTAATCTTTCAGCACTGTCTCCACCCAATATCTAGTTGCTTGTATCGTCATCATTGCCAATTTATGTCTATTTTTCATGCGCTAACTAATGTGTGATATATATATAATACTTGGTGCCTTAGATCTGATCTGATGCAATAGTAAGGTACAGTTTAAGTATTGGGAAATGCTTCTCGTCATCTCGTCATCTTCTGCTCATGATGGGGAACACTTCTGCTCGTGATGGGGAACAGTCACCAGCATGTGAATTTGTCTTTGAATACCGGAGACGGGCGCAGCAGAAGGGACTGTGTCTTACAACTGTAATGAATTAATGCATGATTTAGACTTACTAATGTAATTGTTCATGCATTACAATAAACTGACAATTGTAAGACTTAATGCATTATACCCCCAGGGTGTTGTGAATGTAATGTCCTGCATAGAGTGTACTCTCAATAGGACAGAAATTGGACACTAAAAAAAATACTGACTTGCTACTGTAAACACAATTGATTGGAAAAAAGATGACCGAAAGCCTGTCCTTGCATAAGGGATAGTGGATATGAGGAACTACGTGTTCTCGAATGCGCGCGCTTAGCCTCCATGATTGTCGTATTCTATTCATTACAAAGTCATAGTGGTACCCAAGACCGCTTCTCGCCTGTGACCGTTTATTCTACAAAGCGATTTGTAAGGGAGGCACGCTGCCTCAACTCTAAGTACGCTTATGACTGTGATGCTCTAGCATGGGCCCCTCAAGCAACAACTGAAAAGCTGATTCATCGGTCAGTTTGCGGTACTCGAATGCAGTATAAAGTGACTGGACCGCCGAAAAGCACCTCCTTACAAGGTCCCAGGAATCTGCGTGTGATGTGGATGGACGCACGCTTCTGATCCCCGTAAAGCCAAAGTTGCCCTTTTTTTCTGCGCATGTGCAAGCATCCACTTTCAGCCAGTCTTCTAGTGGTCTATTTTTGCTGAGGAGTTTGCCCTCTTCATACCGAAGACAGACCCAGGTGAGGACCCAGATCAACGATTCAGCATCATGCGCATACACATGCTCGACCTTGCCTGCCATGGCGTCTGGCGAGAGAAGGTCTACCGCCATGAATGGTACCGTTCCGGTGCGCTCGAGGCCCCTGGGACCATCGCGTTTAAACGACGATAAGTCGTAGTCGTTGAGAACAGCCATGAATTGACCGCGTAAGCGGTACACCATGAGATTGCTAGGGCTGACGTCCCGATGAAGCACGCCTCCCTTCCAGAGGGCGCGATGGCCTATCGAGTAGTGGATGAATGATGAAGAGCAGGAGAACGGAAAAAAAAACTTACACTTCACAACTTGCCACCATGCGGCAATGAACTCCTCGCCAGAAAGCGTCGTGATTGGGATAAGCTTTCTGAACACAATGATGTACAGGACGCGGCTGCCCTGTTCGGCCCGGTCTGCGTCCTTCAGGCCTAGTGCGACTCTGATTTTGGACGTGGATGTTTCTTCAAACTTGTGGAACCAGACCAGCTCTGGGATGTGGCCTCGCACATCCGGATCTGTCTGTGCAATCCTGTAGACCTCGTTGAGGATGTCTGGCTCGCTCTGACGCGTCTCTTCTGGCCAATAGAGCTTGGCCACCAGTTCAGAAGATTCGTTGGGAAAACAAGGATCCCGCTGCCGATCTGATAGTGCCTTGCTCTTTACCGGAAATACGGTAGTTGCACGTCCACGTATACCGAAATGAGTCACGCGCTCCTTAGACTTCACATCCAACTCAAGGTCGATCTGGGTATCCTCAACCATCACCTTGCCCGAAAATCCGGGCTCAGGCTCAAACACCCGGTTAAGGCCCCACTGATCGTATCCCATGCGCTGCATGATGAGAAGCAAGACCAACCAGCGTGGAAGGTCCTGAACGAAGTTGATAGCGGCGCCTTGGATCGTGGTTTCGCGGTCACAAAACCAGACGTAAATACAGTCGTCTGGAAGGAGTTGTCAGTTTGATGCCAGGTTAAGAGTATCCCATCAACTTACTGTTCACTATAAAGGAGATGACGTGTTGCCGCGCGATGTGAGCCGCGAACATCTCTGCAACATAGAGGCCGTTCTGGACGATAGGAGGGGGTTTCGTCGGCTCGTCCTCTTCAGTCCGATCTTCATTGTTGCCGCCTCGCTTGCGCTTGACTCCTCTGCTCAATTGCGACGAGGGTCTTACTACCTCGCACATGTCAGTAAGAAAGTAGAAGACGGACATACTACAGCTTACGCTCATTCGATGCTTCGTGGGGGGTCTGGGCAGACCCAGTAGCAGGTGTTGAACCTGTTGGCTTAGCAGGGCCGTTCGTGTCCTTCCTATATTCCATGTACTGCGCAGAAGGAGAAGGAACGACGTAATCGGTCTTATAAACGGACGGCGGATGGGTCAGAAACTTCCGGGGGCGTTTTAACTCCAATGTCGATCGAACATCGGTCCATTGAAAGTTGTCTTTGGGCGATTTGCACGCCGTCTCGGTAAGAACCTGGGATTCTTGCGTTTCGTGTGCTTTCGTACCCAGGGCAGTTTGATGAGAGACCACGACAACGTCAGGCTTGCGTTCGGACTGTTTGTCCTGGTGGTCCTGGTATATGGGCTTTGTATCATTGACATGGAGTAGAATGTTGGTCTTGTCGTCGACCTTGAATGCAGGTATTCCTTGTACATTCACCTTGCTTAGTTCACGGAGCGCACAGTTGGCGGCTTTGACGAAAGAAGCGTATGTCGATGTTTCGACGTTAATATCACAACTTGACAATAGCGTCAGTCTTCTTTCGCACTGCTCAAAATACTGACTTACAAATCAGTCAAGTGTCCCTTTATCTCTTGCGCTACAGCCCCCACATTGCAGATAGGCAGGACAGCATTGAGGGAAGTTTCGAATAGCTTCGATTTCTCGCTGACAGAAAGGTTTTGAGAGTAACCTGTGCATCTTGCAAGGAGTTCTTGCAGCATCGTATCTGCCTCACACTTCTCAAAGTTTTGGACGTCCCTCGCGATCCATGGACGGACATTATTGACTCTGCGAAGTTTACTGATATGAGTGATGGTGGTGAAAACAGAAGGAAGAGCTGACGCACTTAAGGCCAACAGTACTGATGTGTTCGCTGACAACAGCGGAACCGACTGCGAGTGGGGTGGACTTGAGCCCAGTCTCCGAATCGGCAGACAAGGTAGAGTTACGGGGAGGTGTCTTGTCACGTACGGTGGCGTCAGCATTGTCGGCCATGATGATGAGGGCTAAGGGGGCTCAGATAGAGAAGAAAGTGGGTTGAGAATCAGAATACGCAAACCTGAGCTAGCTTTTAAACTAGCAAAATACCATTGTCAGATATTTCAAGTCAAGGTCCACAATTGATAATCGCTAAGTAGTTGAACGAAGTTGATGGCAGCTCTGAGCCAGACTCACGGTTCAGTAAACGATCAATTGACCGAGTTGGTGACAACGACAATTATGTAATCCGACCTTATGAGTCCGCCGGTTGAGAATCTTCTTTCGATCCAAATCATTGTATCCCTAGATTTCCTACTTAATCCCTCTTGTTTTCTTTGGTATCGTATCCAACACGTACCGGTTGAAAACTCAATAAACAAGGTTTGCTATAGGTATAAAGTTTTACCTTGCACAGAGGCGAAAGGCTCGCATGGGATTCTCAGGCTGACACTCCGCAAAGGAGTGGCTTGTCAGTGGGCGCGATGGGGGACCATGGGCTGTACAGCTGTCACCTTCACGGCGGCCCTTTACCTCCGTTTTGATTTACAAATTTCAAACCTTCGGACCACAAGTCACTTTCAGTAGTCCCCCTGAACACCCGAGTAATCAAGGAATCTGATGGTCTTTCTCGATGTTCTTATATCTCTCTGCATCCGAACAACTGGAGCGATCTTTTCTATAACAGAAGTGTAAGAGAGACGAGGACCCAGGGAGCATCGAAATCACTCATCCTCGAATGATGCTGTGGTTGTTGCCTTTGGCACCTATCGGGTACGATTTCCTTGAATGAACATTTTATTGGTGCGTCTTGACGTTCGCGCGTCCCGCGCGTCGCACAAGAAAATTTTGCAGAAGAATTTTACTGATCGGCAGCCTTTGCCTTTGCCTCCGTTTCTGATTCACAGATTTCAAACTTCCATTTTTCCGAACACTTCTGTTCATTCCTAAGCTTAAACACACGAATAACCGAGGGATCTGATTCAGGACGTCTTATCAGAAGTCACTGTCTGCATTCCACAGCCGGGCTGTGCGATCTTTCTTGTATGGAGTAAAAGTGGGAGAAGAGGACACAGCTGCTCCCTCAGTGAGCCTTATTGTCACTTTCCTGTAGTCCTCAAGGTTGCACATCGGAGCTCATGGGACGAGTATCGTGTCAAACGGTAGTGCGCTGAGACTCGCGACTTGTCGATCACCACTCAAGAGGCGCTGATCCACTTCTGCAGGCAAGGCCCACTCAACAGATGTTTTTGCTTGTCCATCGATAGGATCCGAGTCATCGTCTCCTCGACCAAGGAGAGCTCGGGAGAACGGTCAAATCTTACGTCTCCTGAACTGCTAGGCGGATCTCTACCCATAATTATCTCTTTATAAGTCGGTGATGTACTCTACGTGTTTGCGGATGCCTTCAACATCCTTCATGATCGCGCCACCATTTTGCTACTCGCCACCATCATGCTCCATATCCATACATGTTCGCATATCTCGCTTCCGACATTGCGCAACGTTGGTTGAAAATTGTTTGGTGTGCTTCGTCCCCCGTCGTTGAATCATTCTTCACATTATGATCAAGCTTCTTCTTTGAACCGTCTCGCTCTGCCCATCACACGACTTTCAGTAGCTCGCAAGTATCTGAATATATCTACCATGTACGCTGCTTCGGCTTCGCACCGAACACTGGGTATCCCATTTCTTCGGTTTCATACATCATGATAGTGAGATATAGGGGAGTGCGATTCCTGAGAATGGTCCCGGCCTTATCCAAATCAATCGCAACCCAACCACACAACTCCATCTTCTGAATGATCTCCGTGGGCATTCGCAACACCATCTCCTTATGCAGTTCATTTTTCTTGCAGTTCTCCGATCAAAGTACAAACCTCCTAAACCCTACCTCCCGGGCCCGTCCTGCGAATATGCACACTGTCGGCGGTCGCTCAGCACGGAAATATACATAAAAGTCTCTATTAGCCAGAGGAGGCACCATAGAGAGCCTCAGATCCTCGATGAAGTCTACAAGATTACAAAAAAAGATCAATCAGAGGTGCTGGGCCACTGGCATCATTCCTGATCCGGAGATGATCTGGGTCGACAAGCGAACATCCACGGCAAAATCAGGCGCACACTAGGACTCAAGGACGCTGAACGGAGCAGCTGTGCCCTGTGCATCGTGGTGTTCAAAAAGCTTCTCCCCATCACGTTGCTCACCAAGAGGGAGTTCCTCGCCGCGTGGTGGCAAATGGTAAAGTGTAGATGCTTGTTCCTTCTCGTGCTCTTTGTACATGCATTCCATATTCTGACAGGCCATCGCGCCCTCTGAAAAAAGGGGTGCACGCCACTGCAACGTCAGTCTCAGCAATCTCATGGGATACCGCGTACACGGTCAATTCATAGGCGTTCTCAAAGACTACGATTTATCGTCGTTTCAACGAGACAGTCCTAGCGGCCTCGAGCGCACAGGAGCAGGTACCATTCACGGCGGTAAACCTTCCCTCGCCAGAAGTCATGGCAGGCAAGGTCGAGCATGCGTATGCGTATGATGCTGAATCGTTCATCTTGGTCCTCACCTGGGTGGGTCTATCTTCAGTATGAAGGTGTCGTGCGCAGCAAGAACAGACCACTTGAGGAGTTTCTGAAAGTGGATGCTCTTAGATACGCAGAACAAAAGACCCACTTCTGGTCAGTAAGGCTCAGTACCATGCGTCCATCGGAATCGCACAAAGTGTAATGGGAAGTTGCAAAGAAGTGCATCTTGGGAGTTCGCTCGTTTGAACGGGAAAAGAGCAAGTATATGCACATGCCATTATACCGAATGCGATGATGCCAACAGAAACGTGTGGATTGCGGTCAGAAGAGAAGGTGAACATGAATGTGCCAACAAAGAGTGAACAACTGTCGGTCGTATTCACAACGGTATATGGACTTGCTCAAGGCATGAGAGAAGAGCAAATGCCTTTGGATCTACACTGGAAGTGAGCCAGTGTCGTGGAAAAAGGCTGAGAACATACGTCTAGAACAACCACGCATCGCTGGCCTTGGTTGTCAAGTAGAAATTGAGCCAAAGTATCTGAAGAAGGTTCCTTCATGAAAATGCACAAGTCCAACGTAGCGGAACAAAGTTGCAGTACCGCGTTAGATATGGACATCGCCCGTCGTTACAAGCATGTATATGTACGCACACGTGGTGGTAGGTTCCTTCCTGCATAAGTACGTGACTCGAACCGCAATATCCCGTGAGCTATTGCAGATACGTGAAACGCATAATTAGCCACGCAAATTGCGAGGAGTTTTCATGATCCTTAGGATCACGTGTGAGCATACCGCGGACGTTTCCGCAAATGCAAACTGCATGAATAGGACGTAATTAATGACCCTCGCTACGGCGTGCTCGACCAAAATCAACACATTTCCATGATGCCATGCCCGTCGTCGACAGCGAGGAATTGGAGTTTTGAGCTACTACATCAGTAGATAGTTTGAAGACAGACGAGGTGGTGACTCATGTCTGCGGTAGTGCCCGTGGCCCCACACTCACCTGACTCACCTATCAGATGCTTATTAAACTGGCTTGTGGTGGACGCAACCGCTAGCCATATATAGTGACAGTCACGTCTGGATGCGATAGAAGTTGTAAGAGTGAAAGGACCTTAGATGGAGATGTTCAGTCGAATCACTTTAGTATAGGAAAAAATAACTTCAATTGGCTCACTTGTTGTTCAAGAATTATAAATATGACTATAACATGTGGGAAGGAAGCGTCCTGCCTCGAGACATGCCACTAGTGGAAATTGAAAGACTGTTATTGTGCATTTGAGCTGGCAAGGGCTTGAACGTTCGTATTAATGTGGTGTCTCGACGGTTGAAGTTAAGGACTGAGTTTGTTCGATAGCTTTGTTGTTGATGTATGGTGTTCAGGAGAGTTCGTCGATTCATCAGCGGCAACACGAAGGCGCTTATAATCACAGCTTTATATGTATTGAGAGTTCTGATGGGGTTGATGCTGTGAAGCAGTATAAAGACGCTCGGTGGACGCACCTTCAGGACTTAGAACGAGACCGATACTATCTCTCTAGCAAGTCAATCTTCAAGGACCGTACCCAATACCATCAGCCTCCAGCAAAATGAATCGGCTCAGCCCTAGCACTACACCCATTCGAGCGTTTGAAGATCACTATCAAGCGGTGCTCGCAGTCGCAGTGCTCCCTGATAGGCAGCGTATGGTCACTGCCTCGTCGGACTCCTGGCTTCGTATGTGGGACTTGAGGTCAGGCACATTGTTGAAGATGATGGCGGGGCATACGAAGAGTGAGGTGTGGGCATTAGCGGTATCGCGAGACGGGCAATTGATAGCAAGTGGTGACGAGAAGGGAGAAGTCATCGCCTGGCACGGAGCAACTGGAGAATTTCTCATCAAAGCTGTCAAAAGCCAGTTTGGGATGATATCCCTGGACTTTTCTCCCAGTGGTGCAGTGCTAGCCACCGTTTCAATGGACCAAAAGGCGAAGTTGTGGGATACGAAAACCTGGCAGTTACAAGGAAGACCGATCACGTGTGATGATCGTGTCTTCTGCGTTCGCTACTCGCCTTCTGGCGAACATCTTGCGATTGCAACAGCCAGCAACATCGAAATATATAATTCGGGCACGAGGCACCGTATCGCAAAGTTTAATGGTCACAGCTCATACAACTGTTCGCTCACCTGGACACCTGATGGCACGGGCCTTGTTTCATCAGGCAATTATGAGGATCCTACCATACGAGAGTGGGATGCATCCACCTGGGAGCAGGTCGGTGATGCCTGGGTGGGACACACCAAGGATGTTAATGTCATTGCGATTCATCCGAGTCCTGCTGGAACGCTCGTCGCTTCTGCATCTGATGATAAGCAAGTCCGTCTCTGGCGCCTTTCAGATCAACGAACTATCTCCATCTTCCAGCACTCTGACCGGGTGTGCTGTGTCACGTTCTCCACGGATGGCAAGCATATACTCAGCGGAGGTGACGATGAGAAGATATCAGAGTGGGCAGTACCCAAGAATGCTTTGCCCAAGGATGCTAAGTTAAAGGTATTTTCCCATTATTATCCTGTCCGTTCTGATTGTTCATCTTGTCTCGTTTCTTTTTCTATTTCAAGGCTCAAAGCTCTGATTCAAAGGCATATTTCCACCATTGAATCTAATAACTAAATTCGAGCATACCTTAGATTCTCACCATCACCACGAGTGCCCGCAACGCCCTTCTTTTGGGGGAATTGTCTACTGCTGAAAAGATAGTCACGCAAGGGATCACGGCCCACGCCAATAACTACACTTCCTATGCCACTCGCTCATTTGTTATGGCACGCAAACGCAACTGGGACCATGCACTTCGAGATGCAAATGAAGTAAGTCATCCGACATGCACTTCACATAGGCTAACATTGATCCTGGCATAGTCAATACGCATTAATCCCTCGTTAACAGGCTATATTGCAAAGGGCATTGCCCTCTACGGGAAAAGGCAGTTCCAGGACGCCACGAAAGTTTTTGACCTTGCGTTCAGATCGGCTGATGGTGTTGCAAGTACAATGCATTTACTTTTCTTGATCAAGGCATGTTGCTCTTTTATTGCACACTCCGCGCTTCATTATGAGTCACAGGCCATCGCACTGTTTAATGCAAATAAACATGATGAGGCAATGCTGCGCGTCCAAGAACTAGTCACTGATTTCCCCGATACCGATCTTCTTGCTTGCCGTGTCGTTGAAGTGAGTATTCAGTACAGTTTTGTGTGCTGACTTTGATGATACCGCTTTTCGCATCAGACGTATCTACGCGTCCAATTAGGCACCATTGCCTTGAGTAGCTGGTCTCGTAAGCTTGAAGCTGTCAACCATTTCACTTCCGCTGTCAAGGCTAGCGTTTTCTTTTCCAAATCGCCAATTCATCGTATGTATGGGGATTTTACCGTGGTACGTTGGTATTATGCAGTCAACGATGTTTCTTCATGTTGAACTGCATGTTTTTGGCAGCTCTTCGGGTGGGATCTTGAGTCATTGTGGCTCACCGCCCACAAGCAACTATGTCGCGCTCTCATGCGGGCGGGTAAAATTGAAGAGGCATTCACAACGTTCCAATCCACGATGGAAGCATGTGATGAGGCTACAAGATCCAGCTTACGTGCGTGGTTCGCTGGTAAGTCGTGGGTGATGTACATGCTGCGATCCTTAACTACATTTTTCTCAGCTTTCTAGAGAGACTGCAGCATGCTACGTCTTGCCCGTGGCGATACAGCCCTCTCCGCGAGCAGTCACTCTTGCATTTTGAAATGCAAAGATATCTCGTACGGTTAATCGACATTACATATATGAAATCAGACCAAATGTTCTATGTACAACACTCACACGCCCCTAGTCCTTCCCTCCTACCACCTATGAATTGCATTTATGCCATATTGTAATCCTTTCGTTCGGCACGTAGTACTCTTCTTCCATTTCTTCGCGGTATGATTGGGCAATCCACTCGGAATGGAGATATACGCCATCGCAAAATTACAGTCAGAATTAAGCAACTGAAACCCTGTCTCATGTTGTCAATACTGACTTGCTACTGTAAACACAATTGATTGGACAAAAGATGACCGAAAGCCTGTCCTTGCATAAGTGATAGTGGGTATGAGGAACTACGTGTCCTCGAATGCGCGAGCTTAGCCTCCATGATTGTCGTATTGCACCATTCTATTCATTACAAAGTCATGGCGGTACCCAAGACCGCTTCTCGCCTACGACTGATTACTCTACAAAGCGATTTGTAAGAGAGGCACGCTACCTCAAGTATAAGTACGCCTACGACTCTCATGCTCTAGCATAGCCCCCTCAAGTAACAACTGAAAAGCCGATTCATCGGTGAGTTTGCGGTACCCTGATGGAAGGTAAATCGAGTGGATCCCATCAAAGCACTTCATTATGAGCTTCCAGGACGTTTTGTGCGATCCAGATGGACACATATCTCCCATCTTTGCTGACCAAAAGTGCGCCTTGTCCTTGCTGCATCGAATAGCATCCATTTTCAGCCATTCTTCTAGTGGTCTGTTTGTGCTGAGGAGCATGCCTTTTTCATACCGAAGACAGACCCAAGTGAGGACCCAGATCAACGATTCAGCATCATGCGCATACACATGCTCAACTTTGCCTGCTATGGCTGCTGGCGAGAGAAGGTTTACCGCCATGAATGGTACCGTTCCGGTGCGCTCGAGGCCCCTGGGACCATCGCGTTTAAACGACGATAAGTCGTAGTCGTTGAGAACAACCATGAATTGACCGCGTAAGCGGTACACCATGAGATTGCTAGGGCTGACGTCCCGATGAAGCACGCCTCCCTTCCAGAGGGCGCGATGACCTGTCGAGTAGTGGATAAATGAGGAAGAGCAGGAGAACGGAAAAAAGAAACTTACACTTCACAACTTGCCACCATGCGGCAATGAACTCCTCGCCAGAAAGCGTCGTGATTGGGATAAGCTTTCTGAACACAATGATGTACAGGACGCGGCTGCCCTGTTCGGCCCGGTCTGCGTCCTTCAGTCCTAGTGCGACTCGGATTTTGGACGTGGATGTTTCTTCAAACTTGCGGAACCAGACCAGCTCTGGAACGTGGCCTCGCACATCCGGATCTGTCTGTGCAATCTTGTAAACCTCGTTCAGAATGTCTGGCTCGCTCTGACGCGTCTCTTCTGGCCAATATAGCTTGGCCACCAGTTCAGGGGATTCGTTCAGAAAACAGGGGTCCCGCTGCAGACCTGATAGTGCCTCGCTCTTTACTGGAAATACGGTAGTTGCACGTCCGCGTATACCGAAATGAGTCACGCGCTCCTTAGACTTCACATCCAACTCAAGGTCGATTTGGGCATCCTCAATCATCACCTTGCCCGAAAATCCGGGCTCAGGCTCAAACACCCGGTTAAGGCCCCACTGATCGTATCCCATGCGCTGCATGATGAGA